CATCGGCACTTGCCAGCGGCTGACGAAGTACTTCCTTGGCTAGCTGCGCGAGCTTGGCGGCTGCTCTTCTTCAGGCCGTCTACCCCAGCTGCCTCTTTGCCTCGGTTGTGCTGTCTTCCCACTCGCTACCGATGGTTCACTTCAATATGTGATGGGCATGGGCCTCTCACCGACTTGACTGCAGATGGTGCTTGACCATCATTGAATGATCGCATGCCAGAAGAGCGGCAACTTCAACTTTGGCTGAAGAGCGATTGGCGACGCAAATCGACTGTACCCAGTACAGCATGTTGATGGCAAAGTTCTTCTTCGAACAGTCTGGCGCCAGGAGCCCAGAAAGCTGCCTCCAGCCACCTCTCTATGGGGCCCAGGCTGGGGCAACGTTAAAACTGCCAAACAACAACAACAACAACAACAACAACAACCACAACAACCACAACAAACACAACAAACAAAACACAACAAACAAAACACAACAAACAAAACACAACAAACAAAACACAACAAACAAAACACAACAAACAAAACACAACAAACAAGACACAACAAACAAAACAAACAAAACACAACCAACACAACAAAGAACAACAAAGAACAACAAAGAACAACAAAGAACAACAAAGAACAACAAAGAACAACAAAGAACAACAAAGAACAACAAAGAACAACAAAGAACAACAACGAACAACAACAACAACAACAACCACAACCACAACCACAACCACAACCACAACTACAACAACCACAACAACTACAACAACCACAGCAATCACAACAACCACAACAACCACAACCACAACCACAACAACAACCACAACCAAAACCACAACCACGACAACAACAACAACAACCACAATCACAACAACAACAACCACAATCACAACAACAACAACAGCAGCAGCAACAACAACAACAACAGCAACAGCAACAACAACAACAACCACAACAGAAACAACAGCAACAACAACAACAACCAACAACCAACAACCACAACAACAACCACAACAACAACAGCAGCAACAACAACAACAACGGCAACGACAACGACAACGACAACAACAACAACCAAACAAAAAACAAACAAACAAACAAACAAACAACAACAACGACAACGACAACGACAAGGACAACGACAACAACAACAACCAAACAAAAAACAAACAAACAAACAACAACAACGACAACGACAACAACAACAACAACAACCAAACAAAAAACAAACAAACAAACAAACAAACAACAACAACAACAACAAACCCACCACCAACAACAACACCAACACCAACAACAACAACAACAACAACCACAACAACAACCACAACCAAAACCACAACCACGACAACAACAACAACAACCACAATCACAACAACAACAACAACAACAACAATGTATTATCGTTTTGGTGGATTTTGTTTACTATATGAATGTGACGCATAAAGGCGGCTTATTTGATGTGCCTGCGGTTGACGTCTAGCCATACCCTACCACCTGCACTCCTGAACCAACTCCGACGCCCAAACAATATGCTACACACCAACGGCCACTCACGTTCTCCCTGGAATTAGTGAATGTTCAGTGTGGGCAACTTACACTCGGGAAGCACGTCTGTCCAAACGGTTCCAGTTTCTATCTATTCATGTGGGGTCACCGATTCAGCCAGATATCCACGGTGTCTTTAATCTCAACCACATTCATCAGCATTTATCTATATATATATGTATATATATATATATATTATGATCTCAAAAGATGGATATAAACAGTATTTATGTATGTATCTATACATATATATATATATATGTGTAGACATCACCCACTATGTACAGAATAAAAAATGAGACGCCGGTTTGGCACCATTGATCCGCGAGTTTTTCAATGAGACGTACACCTATATTATCCTATATTAATCAACAAAGCGGTGGGAAAAGGACATCTATGCCTTCCAGACTATGATATCTTGAACTTCCATGTCCTGTCCACAGCAACCAGCAACGCTCAAAGCTCAGTGCCTCTCATCTGCTGAACGCGCTACAGGGAAATTTCAACGTCCCAAGTCACAGGTCCGGAACGCCCGATAACGTCGAAACATGTGCGGCTGAAATCTCGTTTTTGTACTTCCTGGACCCCAAGGTACCTTTACTCCTGGCTCGCAGGACACCTGGGGGAGCATGTGGCAAGGCTCCTGTGAACATTCCCCTTTGTGAACTTCGATGGTCAAGTAGAATATAATCATACAATATCATATAATATCATATATAATTACTGTATATATAATTGATCGTCTATAATTAACAATATCCAAGAACCATCAAGAACCTATAAATGAAACCTTCGAAAGGCTACGAAGAAGCGGCTGAATCTCGTAGGGCCGTAGGGACAGAAAGGCGGCCTTGACTCCAAAGGCCCCCCGCATGCAAGCGCGAGTTCCAGAAAAACATATGTGCCATGGTCAGTTCAACAATAATGGGATACATATTATATGTATACATGGGATATACATGATATATATATAGTATTTATATATATACACACATATACGGGATATATATATATACTTATACTGAGATGGGTATAAACCCAACAAACATAACCCAACAATATGATGTGTGTGGTACGGTCATCCATCCCATGCCTATCGGAATCACATGTTTTGACCATTTGTCGATCGTTTTCCCGGGGAAACCCTTGGTTTTCCACATCTTTTTCTGTTTCTGAAAACCTATGGCATCAACAAAAACCGGATGGTGCAAGCCAGGATGGCACGGTTGAATCTCTGGTCATATTGGTTCCGAATATCTGGTGTACCTCCAAGATCTGTGAAAGAGAATCATGTGCCCCATGATTCTGCCAAAAAAGTTGGGGCAAATCTACCATTCTGGGTGGGTGATAGTTATGGTACTCTCTGGGAAATCACCATTTTTAATGGGAAAATCCACTATTAATGGTCATGTTCAATAGCTATGTTAAATTACCAGAGGGTATATTCAATTCATATCCACGAATTTTATCAACCCATGCGACCTCGCCTCACCATGACTATGCGACCTCGCCTCCCCCGGGTCTGGGAAACAGATTGCCGCAGCTGGGCCGCGCTGGTGACACATGGTACCCAGAGTTTGGATTTCACCGTGATGGCGATCATGACGAGGTCATGGCCGGTCATGGCTGCCAGTCATGATTAGAGCATGATTTTCTTCATGAATTAGAATCCAGGAGTATTTGTTATAGTAAGTGATTTTGTTTATAGAATAAAAATGAATAAAACAGATACTTTCTATACACAAATCAAAACAATCTAAAGAATTATCACTTACTGAGTGGGTAAGAACTATATAAAAATCACACAGCGACATTAATTGGATACCCACTACCTGGCACTGAAGTCTTTAGTTTCTATGAGCGTTTGGGATATTTTCCAAAGGTAAAAGTTATAAGATATCCAAAGATATTCACAACTAGTAGTCAAGTTTAGCCATCTTTCTTTTTACAGAAACCAAAGAAAAATAGACGTCGCCTCTCAACGGTGAAGTTCCAGACTCTTACCCTGGTTCCTGGCTGCGGCGCGCACAGGCGCGCCTCACCGGCAAGCTGGAAAATGGGGCTGCCACAGGTCTCCCCCCTGAACCACCAGAATTTGCCACGTGACAGGACTTATGAAAGGACTCACGGTGGATGATTAAGCAATAGATATGGCTATAGATGCGGATATTAGGTGGGTGTGTATGTACAATGTAGAATTATGTGTATATATATATTTACTTATTTATATATTTATATTATATTACGCAACCAGCTTCTAATGTGATTACACCCAATCGAGCATATCTTTACGCAGCCAACTTCAGATGTGATCATTTATTACAACCAAGTGAACAATGTTCAACAATGTTCAACAATGTTCAAAACCTGAAATGTAATCCTCTTACCCTCTGGTAAACGTTTACATAGCTATGGAAAGATCCACCCATTTTATAGCTGGGAAAATCCACGATTTCTATGGCCATTTTCAATAGCTACTTTTGACATAACCAGAGGGTATATCCCATTAAATCCCATTAAATCCCATTAAATCCCATTAAATCCCATTAAACCACCATTTTCCTATGGTTTTCCTATGGTTTTCCTCATCGTTTGGTTAGGTGATCTAGATGAGAATGCGATTCCCAGCTGATGATCAGAATCCCCCAGCTCGTGCGAACTCAATGGACGATGACATGGCTATCTGGGTAGATGGCACATGGCCATTTGATCTATGGTTAATAGATGTGAAAACATATTGGTTATATAATATTGGCCATTTCGGGATGATTTTTCCATATATATATATATATCTGGGTAAATTATCATATTTCACCAACCTGAATAATCTGAATAGTAAGGCCATAAAAGGGGATGATTTCCCATATAAAAACCATGATTATTTAGGGTTCGGGAGAACACAGTGAGGTCGTGATGAAATTTACCCAGATGTATGGATATGTATGGAAAAATAAACATCATCCCAATGTTTTTAATACCCCCAGTCTGACTGGGCCCTGAGCATGGATCCAATACTAAACCAAAGTTTCTGGGGTGGTATTTAATGTTACTGTCAGGGCCTTGGGGGAGATTATACAACAAGTTCTTGGTCGGGCCGAGAAATCACAATTTCGCTCGGCTGGGAGTATTAGATTGTTTTTTTGACTAGACTGTGTCTTTATTAATCTAACAGTTTGCTATGAAAGCCGCGGCCCGTTTGTAGATTATTTATTGGAAATGATTGTTTTCCGTAGCTGTGTTAAATGGTGCATGCACTTCTTCGAGGGAAACTATGTCCGGTAGCAGCTGCTGTTTCGAACACTCCACTCGAGCTCAGCACTCTCTTGCGCACTACCCCTGCGCAAAGACCTCCTGGTGCAAAACTTTGCGAAGAAGTGTTTTCAGCAAACTTGGATGCTACAGTCAGAAGTACTTTTACCTCGGGTTGAGAAAGTAAACCCCCATCTTCTGGGATGATATTCCGCCACCATCAGTTTTTTTTTCAAAACACTTCTTCTGGTACGCAAAAAGCAGGCCAGCAAGAAAGTTATCAGCCAGTCCATTCCTTAGTCGCATTGGCGCAGCAATTTCAAAACTTATACGTGACAGGTCAGATGGAATTTTGATAGAATGGGGGGTCGCCTAAATTGATGGTGAAATAATGTCGCTATATATATATGTATATGATATATATATATGTATATATATATCATATACATATATATACATATATATTGTTGGTTTTTAATGTTTCCATATTTTTTACAGCCAGTAATTATATAAATGCTACAATACACAATAACCTTACTTACCCACTACTGGTCCACTGGCGTTGTCTGTTGTGAAGCCATGCCATGTCATGCGCACATGCACCAGAGCGCTGAAACGGAGGACAGAATGAGCGATGTGACCAAGTAGACAGTTGATGATAAAGAACAGGGAGTCATTGTAAAACAGAACGGCAGAGCGCAGTTTTACCCTGGAGAAGACGTTATATTTCATGTGGAAATCATGAACTAATCTACTCTGATGGACCTGCCTCTGATGGATTTGACTGGACACAGCTGCCAAATGACTGGAGGAATTGTCACGAGATCTAAAACTGCGGAAAAACCAAACAAAGGCCAGAAAACAATCTCAGGGAGTCTTAGCTGAGAGCCCCCTTCCAAAGAGTGTAGAAATATCGTAAGTTCTTAGTTTTCCTTGTGTAGGTTCATTTGTTTTCCAAGTGTCTTTTCATATCCAGATGCGCATACTTCTCAAGTATTGTGTGCTGTACTATGGATGTATACTAAAGATTGTCTCATTTCGAAGGACTGTTTTACATCTTCCAAAATCCAATGCATACTTTAAAAGAAAACGAAACAATACGCAACATGTATTGTGATTACAGTAAATAGCACAGGCATTTCTATGATATGAGTATGTATGTATTCAGCAAAAATCAGAAGAGCACAGGCTGCTATGCACTTCAAATTCTGATCCTCCTTTGTTTCAGTCTCATTTCCTTCATCGGAACTGCAAGTGCAGCAACAGCAATGTGTTCTGCTTTAGCAAGATATCCAGTATTCCTCCGTCCTACCCCATTTGGGCGTCTCTGACAATAAGGTACCCAAAATGTTGATTCTGAATCATATGTCCTTATGACATTGCATTTTGGAGGGTATACACGGAAAAAAACACATTTTCAGTTCAAACACATTCCAAGTATGAGTATTTCTCTAACTCGTTCTACAATTCAGCTGCTGCCCATTTGCCGTTTGCTTAAAAAAACCTTAGTCTTTTATGAAAACCCATGGATTCAGTCCCTATTTTTCAACAAATCCAGATATCACATTGTTGGTTATATCTATATATATATCCCATTAGATGTGTATCCCCCATTAAATCTCCATTGTACCACCATTGGTTGGGATTCTTCATCTCTCAATTCGTCCATGTTCACCTGGGATTTAAATCCTTAGTTTACCAAAGATTTCTCAGATATTCACAGAATGTGTCAAGATGATGAATTTTCCCGTTTTTAATCCCAATGATTTTACCACCATGACTCGGGATTCTGGACTATTCCCATGGTTTTCCCCCACTTTTCCCAGTCACCACGAGTCACCACGAGTCATTCGTACTTCTTATGGCGCTTCACTCGGCTGAATGGGCTGATGGAATCATCGAAGATGTATCGAAGAATTGCTCCTGGCGACGTCGATCTTTTCGAAGAAAAAAAGGAATACGGGATGGGAAATGGGGATATAGCCATGATATGGAGATGTTGAACAATTTTATGGGATTATGAACACCATTAAAAAAATGTTATGTTTTTTTTGTCCATGGAATTTTAAGCATTTTATGGTGATAAAATGGGGATATGACCCACAACATGGTGATTTAAGTGAACGTCATCACCGACCCCCTTAGGTTGATAAACCCATCTAAGCCCACAAAAAAGACTTAAAATCGTGGTGTGTGGGTATCATCCATCCAGTTATAATATGTTATAATACTATCTCGCAGTCTAAGGTGCTGCTATGGAAGCAAAAACACCATGTTTAAATATGTTGAATGTCTAAATTCGTGGAAATCATCGAACAAAATGGGCCATGTACACCATAGCAAACTGCTAACTGACCAGAGGGTAATAACATGTAATAACACCCTTTTTCTATGGGACCACGACAATTTCAGAGATTCAGCATCCCTCAAGACTCTTTTCGCACCCATTGAGCAACTGTTTTTGTGACCCGAGTCGTAGAGCAACTGACAACCCCCGGTTCGATGATCTGAGGAGTTTATTTTTGGCAAACCATCATAGTTTCAAACGAAATAATCATAAACCAAGGCAATCTTAGATACCCTCTGGTAATTTGTTACATAGCTATTGAAAATGGACCATTGAGTTCGTTGATTTTCCCATTAATAGCATGGTGATTTTCCAGTTCGCTATGTAACAAATTACCAGAGGGTACCCTGCAAAAACTGAAAAATTGTGTTTCACTCGTTGAATCCTCCATTTCAACTAGTTACTATAGTTGATACCTGGCCCCAAACCGGCCAGGTAAGAAAGGGTCGGTGATTTTTCGGTCGACCCAGCACTGGCAACTGGGGATCATCCCAGTCACAGATCCCCTGGTGATTTTTTCGGCTGCGATTTTTTCCATTTTTTGACATCTTTCAGCAGATTTTTTCAGCAGGAAAATGATGATCAAATATCATCAATGGGAATTTCAGGATCCTAAAATGGAGGTACACGTTAGTACCATATAAGGCCATATTTTTGGTGGATATTCCCTTATATCCCTTCATATCACCAGATTTTTGAGCAGTGGCCACAGTGGTGACCCCGGTGACCCTCTGCTGCACCTGGCCACGACTTGCATTGAGGCAAGTTATCATAGTACCTGTGGTGGCATTTTGGAGACTGTATAAATAAACCGCCCATGGGAATATCCAACGAGAATATATACATAATATGTATATATATATATATACATAATGTATAGTGTATATATATATATGATCATATTATGTATATATACCTATATAAGGTGTGTATGATGTATGTCTATATATAAGGTGTGTATGTATATATATATATGGATGTATGTATTAATATGTATGTATTAATATGTATATATTAATATGTATGTATGTATGTATGTATGTATGTATGTATCTATCTATCTATCTATGTATCTATGTATCTATGTATCTATGTATCTATGTATCTATGTATCTATGTATCTATGTATCTATGTATCTATGTATCTATGTATCTATGTATCTATGTATCTATGTATCCATGTATGTATGTATTAATATGTATGTATTAATATGTATGTATATATGTATGTATATATGTATATATGTATATATGTATATATGTATATATGTATATGTATATGTATATATGTATATATGTATATGTATATATATGTATAGATGTATATATGTATATATGTATATATGTATATATGTATATATGTATATATGTATATATGTATATATGTATATATGTATATATGTATATATGTATATATGTATATTTGTATATATGTATATATGTATATATGTATATATGTATATATGTATATATGTATATATGTATATATGTATATATGTATATATGTATATATGTATATATGTATATATATGGGGTTGTCTCAAAAGCTAGGAACCCATTTTTCCCACGGTTTGGAAATGTTAATGTTTCGAAAATCATTTCGCCAGTGGAACGCGTACCCTTTACTATGGAGGTATTCTCCATTTCACGTGCTGAATCAGCATGTGCTCAATATGGAGCACGGAATGGTTTGGTGGAAGGTGCCCTTGGTTCCAACGAAAAAAATAGTTCACATAGGTTTGCCTGAAAATAGAGTAGCCTAAATCTGATGCTTTCTCATCATTCTCCCTATGAAATTGCCATTTCTGGGATTTTTCGCATGCCCCATTGACCCCAAAAAGGCACATGATCAAGATGGGCCATTCCACTGCCCAGTGTTCGCCGGGAAACTGTCAAGTCCAACACCAACAAAGGTGTACTATCTTCCCACACCAACAAACACGACATAGGCAACTCGCTATCTTCTCACCAAAACTTGGACTTACCTATCCAACACCAACTTGCACCCAAGCGGTGTTTCTGCTGTTTCTGCTGGAAGAAGAAATATATATATATACATAAGAACGAGGATTTCAAACTTGACCTAAACACAAAAGAACACATGAATACATATTATATATAGAAAATAGATGTGTTTGTCTGAAGCTAGCAGCTAGAGTGTCCCAAAAATTGATGGTTGATCATCATTTTTCCTCATGAGATGCCATAAAATGGGGCTAAATCTCCCATTTTCTGGTATCACACCCACGTTTTCCTACTAAAAACAGCAAGTTGACCTTTCCAAAAAAAAGTGTATGTTCCATATAAATCGGAGATAAATCTACTCATGTCCATGTCAGGTGACTCCGGAGCAATTTCCTTGACCTTCGGCAGATTCGACCAAGCGATGTTGGGGAAATCGTGGTGCTCCTTGAGTCCGGCAGCCAAGGATGGGAGTATATAGTACATATCATATATAGTAGCCTTGTAGCTGGCTGTTGCAATAAATAGGAAACACACACACACTATATATATATGATATACAGTACAGTATATATATATATACATATATATATACATATATATACATATATATATATATATATATATAACATCACATAACTCACCTAAGCCAAGTTTTAATTCATTTTTAGACAAGGGGATTGCTTGGAAGCCACAGATTGGCTGATCTTTATTGAGTTACCACAGCAACCAAAACAATGCGGACTGGGGATCTTATGGGCTGGTCACCATCGCTACCCCACAGGTCATGAAATGTCAAGATATAATCTTCGAAGTGATGAAGATGTGGTACCAGTTATGTCTGTTGATTTGCAAAGCCGTCCAACTACTAGTAACATCTAGTAACTGTATAGCTGGTTCTACCTTTTCAACAACTGTTAGCCTACTGAACTAACAACTTACGCATCAGCAGGGGCTCAGCAGGTGCGCCAAAGGCACGTTATGATAGCCAACGTTGTAGGCCAAGCGATTGAGGGGGCCGTAGTAGGAGTAGGTCTCCTCAGTGAAAATCAATCACTGGAAGCTGCGTAAGTCGTGACATGTGAGAGGTTTCAACTTTCATGGTGTTGTAACTTGCCACTGAACCTAACTGAACCCGACTGAACCCGACTGAACCCTAAACCGAAATCAACTTCCGTTTCATCCCAGTGCTCCATCTGAACCTCAGACAAGTGCAAAAGTGGCTTGACATCAGAGCGGCTTCAGCTTTGTTTCTCCTTTTCAAAGTGCCCTGAAGAGTCACTGAACCACCACAGGATCTGGTTGGTAGGCATAGCTAATACTTCGCAGCCCCGTGCGAGGTATGGATAGCTAGCTAGCTAGGTGGGTATGTAATTAAATTAAGTTAGATTGGATTAAATCAAACTAGATTAGGTTAGATTCGAATAGATGAGGATCAGATTCGATTAGATTAGAGAAGATACGATAAGATAAGAGATGAATACCTATGTTTCTCTGTTTTCCCCATGGTTTTTTCAGGCTGTATCTCCCGATTATGAAAAAAAACGACCCTGAAGCATCAAAATCGCCCAGTTTCTGCATCCCCTTCCATCACGTAGTGTTCCGCAATGAAATGTCCTCCATGGCCAAGGGGGATGGGCCGAGGTTCGCCGGGGTTCATCATCCCCAACAATCCACAACTAATATGGGGATGGGGAGATGGCACCCTGGTACCGTGCTTCTGTTCACCCCAAGTCATAGCTGGGAAATAAATGGATGTGAATAACCCACTAAAAATGGTATAAAAATAGGTATTGACCCATAGCCATATCATTTTTTGGTAATACTGCTATTAGTATATGTTAGATTGTGGTAGTAGAATCCAAAAAAAAAAACGGTATGTGTTTTCGCCATGTCGTCTTCCGATTTCCGGATTTCGTGATTGCACCCCAGCCGGCATTCCAGAACCTCCCCATGGTTCCTGCCGTGGGATGAATGGATCCAGCAAAGAAGGTAGACAATAAAAAGTACACGACCTCGCCATGGACGAGTTGGGGACTTAATTGGAACCAGGACGGGTTCCAAACAAAAAACTCAAAACAACATCGGTAGATTTCATGGGATTTAATGGTGATTTCGTGGGATTTAGATAGCTAAGTTATGCTAAGTTGGCACTCCCATAACTCCAATAAATGTTGGGTTGATTGCAAATATATGCAAATATAACGAACTGGTTCGTTTGTAAAACAATTTATAACTGGGGGGCACCACCTTGTAGGGGTCTCCAAATCGAAAAATATTTCCAGGATGTGAAATCGATGAGATTTCCTCATTTCCAGGTGTCTAACTCTTCTATTTATATATATATATATACATATACATACAGTATATAGACAGACTGACTGACTGACTGACTGACAGACTGACTGACAGACTGACTGACAGACAGACAGACAGAAATCCACCCACCCACCCATCCAGCCATCCAGCCATCCAGCCATCCAGCCATCCAGCCATCCAGCCATCCACCCATCCACACATCCACCCATCCACCCATCCACCCATCCACCCATCCACCCATCCACCCATCCGCACATCCACCCATCCACCCACCCATCCACCCATCCACCCATCCACCCATCCACCCATCCAACCCATCCACCCATCCATCCATCCATCCATCCATCCATCCTTCCATCCATCCATCCATCCATCCATGTGTGCCTGCATGCATGCATACATGCCAACAGTGCAATGCAGTGCAGTGCAATGCAGTGCAGTGCAATGCAATGCAATGCAATACAAAACAATACATTTCAACATGCAATATGTAATATGCAATATGCAATATGCAATATACAATATGCAATATACAATATACAATACACAATACACAATTCAATACCCAATACAACACAATACAACACAATACAACACAATACACAATACAAAATAAAATACAATACACCATACAATGCAATATACAATGAGATATACAATATACAATACATACTATACACTATACAATTCAATATACAAAATACAATATATATATATACAATGTACAATGTGCAATGTGCAATGTGCAATGTACAATATACAATACACAATTGTCCTCATCCCAGTGGACATCCCTAGCATTGGGCACCACATCATATTCCACTTGCTTATCCCCGAGATTGTGTTTCACTTATATTCCCTTGGCTTATCCCAACTAGATCCCACCCATATCCATCATCCCAACTATATCCCATTTATATCGCAATGATATCGCAACATTTATCTAAATATATCCACTACATATCCACTACTATATCCACTACTGGCTTATCCCAACTATCTGGGTAAATTATAATAATTCACTGAACTGAATTAAGGCCATTTGGGGATGATTTCCCTTACTAACCATGATTTCCAGTGAGGTTGCAGTGAGGTCGTTATAATTTGCCCAGAACTATTCCCACACATATCTATATTCCAATGGCCTGCCTTTCTCATTTTCGCATCACCAGAAGTGGAACCAACTGAGCCTCCAACTGCCTGCCAGCCGACCTCGGACCAAGCGGAGCAAGCGGAGCAAGGGTCCCGAGCCCGCTCCACTTTTAGAAACCGTTGGGAGTTCCGTTGGGAGTTCCTAAGTTGCTTACTTAAAATTGGGATGTGACGTGATTTTACCAGCAAAAATGGTGATTTCATCGGATTTCATGGGATTCATTTGGCTAAAGTTGGTTGAGTCATAGCTCCAAAAAACTCGTAGAAAAACGGGGCTGAAGTATCCTCCATTCACAAAACGGGCACCAACTATGATTTGGTGCTTGAATCCCCTGATTTGAGGTCATAGTTCATGTACCATTGAAAAATACCACCACTATTTGATACAAGTGTGTATATGTATAGTATAGATATAGATATACTATTCTACATATACTACATATATATAGAATAGAGTGTGTATGCGTACATATATATATATATATACATCTATAAGTAAAGCACCCAATTTTGTACGCTTTTGACCACAGCTAAGAAATCATAAAGCGATTGCCAGGCAGCAGTCACAAACATGAAATAGTCGAAGAAGGCCATGACCTTGCTGTAAGCAGGGATCCATATGGATCCATCCCAATGCCAAAAAAAAACACCAGATCAGTCATCAACGACGGAGCATTGGGATATTTGGGATGAATCTGGCTTTGTCTATTTTTTTTTCTATACCCCGGTATGTTGTTGCCATTTGAATGAGAGAAATGATCATCGTCTCGACGGGATTTTATGGTGTCGCCAGTATAACTTGAGGGAAGCCCATCGCACAGTTGCACAGTTGAAGGAGTCTAGCCATGGTGAGTTGGCTTAATTTCTGGTGGGATAAATGCTGTTTACCCATATATGTATATATATGATACATAATCCCAAGCAGAAAATGTCGGCCATTCCAAGGCATGCGGTGAAGAAATAAGGATCCACTGAAACAAAGCGGGACATAAGGTCTGGATTTCCAGACTGCAGTAGCATTGATCCAAAAGAGCCTGTCCAATAGGTGCCCAGTGTTGCTGATCGACGGATAGATAGCTGGTTAGTGGTGATTGCTATTGGATCCACCCCAACAAAATGTTCCTGATTGGGGAGAATACAATCCAATTTCTTTTGTTGAAAATACAACATGATTAAAACCACCATGATTACGCTTTGATGTTTTACATTCTATTCTATGGCATCAAGTTCAATGCAAAGCCTCATCTATGTTGGTTTTGTGGAGGGTGCATCCATCACCAAGCAGCCTCGGACTCATCCGTATGATCCATATGTGTCAAATTCATCCATCTCGATAAACCAAAGGAAATTTAGCAACCTGAAATAAGGCCAATATGGGGATGATTACGCATTTTACAACAACGTCGCACTGAAGTGGTTGTAACAATTATAATTTATAACTTATCCATGATCATGATGAACCATACATCAGTAATATCGTAACAGAATTGTGTGACGATTCTGATCTCCCCAAACATGTTTTTCGGGTCATTGAGATCCAGTGTCAAAACCGAGGTGCGAAGAAGTTGCAGAGCACCCAGAAATCCAAGGGCACCAAGTCTGGTTTGATGAACATCGGACGCAAGGCATAGGCGAAAATCTGAAAGAACATGAAAATTGCCTAGCGCGATCAATGGAATGGTTGCGAACTCATCAGTGCAAGTTTCACGTCACGGATCAAAAAATGACATTGAAAACTTGCATGATTTGGTGATATAACCTATAATATATATATATATATAATTATATATATATATATCATCTATATGTTTACCTATATACACAAATACTAAAACCTCAGGCCGAAATGAGGGTGTTGAGGTGTTGAGGACTCCATTTCAAGGCTGCAAGGCGAGGAAAAACCGGAGAAATGGTTCTGCCAAAGAGACTGACTGGGTCGAAGTGGCATTCAAATGGTTTCAGATGTGCGTGGGTCCGGTCACTGCATAATTACCCATCATCCATGTAACCATCAAAAAACGGGATAAATAACGGCATCATCCATGTAACCATCCTTTTATAAGTCAAATATCGGATGGTTTAGCACCCAAAAAACACACCATCCTGATGTTTTTGGCAATGGATCCATCGGAGCTTCTGACTATGCGCCTCATGTAACACGCATCATTCACTATTTATCAGTACTGGTGCGTTTTACGTAGGGAGATGGGTTGCTGTTTTTTTTTTTTGTGGGATTACTATTGATACTTAGCCAGTGGATCATTCCCGAAAAATTCCCTACTAAATCTACTAATTAAGCACAAGTAAATTTATCCTTATTTACCATTTAACATAGCCATGGAAAATCACCATGTTTAAGAACGGTCAACCATCTATTTCAATGGGCCATCTATACCATGGCTATGTTAAATAACCAGAGGGTAATATAAACATATTCAAAATGGCCATTTATAGTGGATTTTCCCATTAAAAATGGTGATTTTCCATAGTTTTTTGTATGTTTACCACAGGGTATTATCATTATTTATCACAAGTGGTCACAATTCACCTGAAAACTGACCGTCATTTTAAGGGATGATCCTGGAATCCTCCATGGCCCATATGGATCCATATGGCCCATGGATCACCGGCACCCAGAAGATTCCGAGAAAATCGGCCAACCAAACGTGATAGTATAAGAAAATCGGCCAAGAAGTGAGCGCCACAAGTCACTGGGTAAATTAGAAAATTTCACTAACCTGAATTAAGGCCATTTGGGGATGATTTCCCTTACTAACCATGATTTCCAGTGAGGTCGTAGTGAGGTCGTTATAATTTACCCAGAAGTCACAAGAATTTTCACTGTTGATTTTTGAAGTGTCACGACAGAAAAAGCAGTGAAAAGAATGAAAAAAGACAGCCAAAATACTCAGCCATTACGGCCCCCAAATACCCATCTCATGAAATACTGAGAAACGAATGTTTTCAACGCCTGCTCGAATATTTTTGTTACCCTCTGGTAAACTAAAGTAACTATGAAAAATCACCACGCTATTAATGGGAAAACTCACTATTTCTATGGCCATTTTCAATAGCAAACTGTTGGTTCACCAGAGGGTACTTCATCATCTCCGAGTTATCGCGAGTTCTCCGTGGCCCCATGGCGCCTTGCGGATCATGTGATCAACTCGACCGAAAGAACCTGTGGCATGGCACTGACTCTGGAGAGATCATGATGAATCTGGCACTGATGATGTATTGATCATGCCATCCATATACATGATATACATAGATTATTTTGTATGATATGTATATATATATGTACATATGTGTGTATATATATAATATGTGTATGTATAAATGTGTATATATATATGTGTATATATAATATGTATATATATATATGTATATATATATATGTATATATATATATATGTATATATATGTATATATATATGTCTGTATATATGTGTATGTGTATATATATGTGTATATCTGTATATATATATGCAATTTATATATATGCATATAATGTGTATATATAATATATGTATGTATATATGTGTATATATAATATATGTATGTATATATATATATATGTGTGTATATATATGTATATATGTATATGTATATGTATGTGTGTATATGTATATGTATGTGTGTATATGTATATGTATGTATATATATGTCTATATATATATGTATGTATATATATATATGTATGTGTATATATTTATGTATATATATATATATGTATGTATGTATATATATATATGTATGTATATATATATATGTGTGTATAAGTGTATATATATATGTATATATATATGTGTGTACATATATGTACAGTATATATATATGTGTGTGTATGTATGTATGCATGCATGCATGCATGCATGGATGCATGCATGGATGGATGAATGGATGGATGGATGTACGTACGTACGTACGTATGTATGTATGTATGTATGTATGTATGCGGCATCTGGAGCCTCACTTCTTGAGAAAATGTATATACATGTCTCATTGCATATTGAGATGGACAATAGTAATACACATGTCAGTGTAAGTATATATATATGCATATATATATACATGCATATTACCATCCCCAAATGTCTACCATGTTTGCGTGGTCACTGATTTTGCAGTGTTTGTTTATCAATTCGGATGCTCTGAGAATTAGAAGAAACTACTATGTTAATTAAACCAAAACTTACAACTGTGCTTCTTTAAAGCAATAACCTCTCAGAAAGGTATGAAAAGGACTACATATTCCTTTCTTTCACAGGAAAACTGGATCTTGTTGAAAGACACCTTTCACTTTTTAATAAAGGTACTGCATAATTTGTAAAAGCGCTGTCACAGAAATGGTCTGCGTTCAAAAGTGAGGATATACTTCAATTTCTTGAAAGCACGTGCGCATATTTTGAATAGACAATGGTGTTTAAGAGGAACATGGCTGTTTCAACAAATACTGCATTGTTTAATCAAAACTGCATCTTCTCAAAAAACTGACTTCCTTTGAAGAAACACCACATACTTTTAAAAAATGTGCATTGCTTCAAGGAATGTTACATCCCTTTAAATGAAATTGTTGTCAATCACAAGTGTTTCTACGTAAGAAAAAGACCCTCTCGTAAAGTACCGCCGCGCTGCTTTAGATGTGAAGGGGCTCTTGGTTTGCGTTAAATGGAATTATACGTTCTTTTGAAAGAAACCCTGCATCCCTACAGGGATACATACAGTGATGTCTAAAGTGAGTACATTCTCACTTTTGTAGACTGCATAGTGGAAATGGTAAAAATGATCGTTTAGGAAGGAGACTGTACATGTTCAAAAAAGTGCTGCATTGTCCTAATGAAAACTGCCTCTTCAATTCTTCAACTGCACTTCTCCAAAGGAATGCTAAGAAATATTTGGAAGGAACATAGAATAGTTTCACAAAGGAGCACCGCATCTGTTGCAAGAAACCCTGCATGTTTATGGGTCATATTGCTTATTTTGCAAGAATAAGCAAGAATCATATTTTCGCGCAGGAATAGTGTGGTTTCGACCTGAGTACAACCTGAACTTTGAAATGGATGTTGGATACTTTGCATTCAACAAAAACTGTTTCTGCAGGCATTGCGTCTTTCAAATGACAAGTGTTTCCTTCAAGGGAACTACACTACGCCTCTTGTTGCAGTGCGTCCCGAGATGGCTCCCTCCCATTACCGACAGGGTTTGCTCCCAAGATACAGGGGGGAAATGGCTAGAAAAGGACATGAAATTACCAAGTTCGCCCACGTGTGGCTATAATTTACCCCTAATATCTTGGAGCAACCCTGCAAACCTCCAAAGACGGTAGCTGTCGATGATTTTTTTGCTACTCCGAATCGCATGAAATCAACATGTTTTCTTACTCTTCAGCGGGTCACTTCGGGGTGCTGTTCCACGCGATAAGTGAGACATGGCCGGACATGGCCATGTTTCGATAGTTTCGTTATGTCCTAACCAAACCTATCGAGGTGCAATCAGCATGGCTATATCGAAAGAATCCCAACCGCAGCCCAACCCCCAAGTGCTATATCTATATCCATGAATGAGTTATATCCCGAAATCATCCGAAATCCCGTTGTTGGTTAGATCCCACGATATTTCCATGTTTCAAGTGGATTCTTAAGCCTCCCAATATCGTTGCAGTAGGTTAAACATCCCATGATGTCCCCCGATTCCCAATAAAGCCCATTAAAGTCACCAATGGCATTACCCTCTGGTAAACTAACATAGCTATTGAAAATGGCCATAGAAATAGTGGATTTACCCATTAAAAATGATGATTCTCCATAGTTATGGGACAGTTTACCAGAGGGTACCTCCATTTTTCACAGCCAAGGGGCTCTTGGTAATGAGATATCCCTCAAAGAGGGTGGGGACATCCGTATCGATCCCTTCAACGCCCTGGTTGCGATGGTGCGCCATGTGGTACCTGGCGATTTTTGACTTCCAAGAAGTCCCAATCACTGTGAGTCAATGGTCATCGATTCAATCATGGGGCTTAATCACCATAAAATCGGAATATCATTATATATATATATGGGTAAATTCTAATATTTCACTAACCTGAATTAAGGCCATTTTGGGATGATTCCCCTTACTAATCATGATTTCCAGTGAGGTCGCAGTGAGGTCGTTATAATTTACCCATATATATATATTGCGTGCACATACACCAATTACATTGCATCAGATTACGTTCATTACATTATTGTACATCACACTACGTTACGTTACATGATATTACATACATTACATACATTACATGCATTACATGCATTACATACAGTACAGACCGACATACATACATTACAGACATACACACATATGTAATCATATGTAGAATGTATATGCATATATCTACATGTTAATGCATATATATATATGTGTGTGAACGTATACATATATACATATATACATATATACTTATATAGTATTACACACAGACCCCGAGGTTTGCCCAAGCCCAAAATAGCGTAAATTACGAGGATTTGTTGCTCACACTATACATATCATATGAATTCTCCCACCCCCGTTAAACTTATACATTCATTGAAGATCTTCAATAAGGGTTAAATTCTCCCACCCCCGTTAAGTTCCTACATTCATTGAAGATCTTCAACAAGGGTTTGATTCTCCCACCCCCATTAAACTTCTACATTCATTGAAGATCTTCAATAAGGGTTTGATTCTTCCACCCCCATTAAACTTCTACATTCATTGACCACCTTCAATAAGGGTTTGATTCTTCCACCCCCATTAAACTTCTACATTCATTGACCACCTTCAATAAGGGTTTAATTCTCCCACCCCCATAAACTTCTACACTCATTAAAGATCTCTAATCTGGGTTCAATTCTCCCACCCCAGTCAAACTTTTAGATCTTCAATAGGGGCTTAATTCTCCCACAACGTTAAACTTCTACATTCACTGAAGATCTTCAATAAGGGTTTGATACATGTTTTTTATGTGGAGCATATGGGTTATCATCATATCATCATCATCATCATCATCACCAGCATCATCATCATCATCATCATCATCATCCTCATCATCCTCATCATCATCATCATCATCAGCAGCATCAGCAGCATCATCAGCATCATCATCATCATCATCATCATCATCATCATCATCATGTCCGGACACTCGTTGCGAGTCCGGGCAAACCTCAGGGTTTTGCCGTAGTATTAAATCGTTTACATAGTATAATTTGGGGTCCCAGCGGTTGAGGTGTTTTATATGGATGGGGAGTAGGACCACTCATCACAGCTACAGGAAGGGCCCCAACCCCAATGATAAGCTGGTCTACAACAGTATTTAGTAGATATATCCAGCACGCAATTCCAACAGATTTTATGGTTATAAGTTATAAACACCCACATACGTATGTTTGATCCTAGTTGCTGCAGTTATGAAGCCACGCCGTTTTCGGAACCCCCCCCCCTGGCGCACGGCTTGAAGGTGATGCAGTAGGGAAAGACAATGGGAAGATTCGCCACCATTCCTCAACAAGTGGAGGCGTCCTAAAATAAGGCTACCGGGCTACCCCCAGTCATCATCCATTTTTGGGGGATTTTCCTTGACCTTCCAGAAATGGCATGGTGGTACCCCCATTTCTACCCCCAAGTGCTTCATAACTTCAAAGCCCTTTGCCGTGGCCTTAGCCTTTGTGATTCAAATCTGTGATCTGTGAAAATCAGATGCTGAAACGGAAGCAAATCAGAGGGTCGAATCCATGGAATATCCATGGAATATCCCACGAAATCACCATGTCTAATACTTCAATTGTCCCATCTGACATCTGACATCGAAAGCCATGCGAAACGGCACCAAGGGACCGATGATCTTGTTGGCGCTGGCTGATTTGGCCCCCAAGTTGTGAGCCAACTCGTGGATGGCCAAGAACAGACTCGGTCGCGAGTTTCAAAACGTTGGCGTCACTGTCTTTGAGCAGGTTTCAGGAAAAAGATGTTTAAAAATGCTGCGGATTTAGCTCATATTTAGCTCATGTCTAGCAAATTTCGCAGTTGGAATTCAATTTGTGTTAAAGCCAGTTCAATGGTGGAAGTGATGATCAAACATTTTTTCATTTTGAGGGGATACCCTTTTTGGACCCACTTTTCAGCGCAAGCTGTAGAACTACACATCCCATCGAATGCTGGGATTCGTTGCTCAAACTATCACTACATAGAGTATCATATGTATTATATAGATAGAATATGATAGAATGATACATAGATGTATGTAGCAACCAAAAAAACATGGAAAAGTAGTTCCAGGATGAAGATATGATGTTTTCCTCACAATTTCCAGGCTTTCCAATATCTTTTTGGGGGGGTGCTATATATCATATAACTTACAGTAGGCTGCAACAGGACCAAGCCACGAATGGTTTGCAGTCGCTCCAACAATATACGCCACCGCCACGAACCTCGCAAGATGCGTCTGTGTTTTTTCTACATCCAGGGTCATTTCGAAGCCAGGCACACCGGGAAACATGGGGGAAAATCCTGGCTCCAATTTTTTAAAAAATATCAAAAGATGGAGTACAATCTGGCAACGGGATGGTTTCCTAGTAATTAAGCATCCCGGTTCAACTGCAGTTCGACCAAGTTTGACCTTCTATGTGGTGAGTCGGGTCCGGCAACATAGGTGTAATTTTTGCCCTGAACTATGATTGATTGTGGATATAACAGTGATCCAAGAGTTAAAAAAAAAGCCAGCCACTCATCTAATGTTCAACGAGTTCTTGAGAGGTGGTGGACCAGCACATCTTTTAAACCACCAAAATCGACGTACCCTCTGGTAAACCAACAGTTTGCTATTGAAAATGGCCATATAAATAGTGAGTTTTCCCATTAAAAATTGTGATTTTCCATAGTTGATGTTAGTTTACCAGAGGGTAATCTATTGACTCCTTTATCTTATTTATTGGAGATTGATGGTTAGAGACTCAAAGAGCTGTGAAATTCAAAGATGGATTCCCAAGCTACGTGTGTAGCAGCGTAACATCTTTATATATAGAGACTCCAGTTCGTGTCTGGGAGTTCGCTATGTTTCAATAGGGTGCCTTTTCTTCTTTGGATCGGAATTTTGACGTTTATTTTAGAGAACCGTTGGCACTCCATCACGCACAAATAGCGGTCAAGTATTGGTTGTGTCATTGGGGAGCCTCTGGTAATTTGACAGTTTGCTATTGAACATCACATAAAAATCACATGTTGTTCAAGCGGCAAAAATCCTCGAAGTAAATGATGCATTTTCCATCGCAATGTTTGGAGGATCACTGAGAAAAATTGGGTCTTTCTCAAGTGGATCCCCAGTCGTCACCATTCCAAGTCACTTTTGGTTTGGTCATGACTTGGATGATGGCTGGGGGTACCCCCATGACTTAGGAAACCTCCATAGACTGCATGTTTTATGCATGTTCGATGGTTAAGTCCATGATCAATGAACCTCATGATTGCTAGTTCTTCTTACCCTTGGCAGTACCCATTCAAAATCCCATTCAAAATCCCATTCAAAATCCCATTCAAAATCCCATTCAAAATCCCATTCAAAATCCCATTCAAATCCCACTGAAATCTCTGTTGTTGTTCCTCAAAAACCCACCAAAAAAAAGACATCTCCGCCAGCCAGGAACGTCCAGAAGGACCAGCTCTTGGCAAAACAGGCCAAGGTGATCTGAAGGGCGACAGTGGCCTCGGCAAGGGATCATCAAACATGGCTATGGCTACCCGGCCTGGTCAACGTTGACATAACGAACTGGAAAATCACCATTTTTGATGGCTAAATCCACTTTAAATATCTATAAATGGCAATTTTCAATAGCGAACTGTTGGTTTACCAGAGGGTAGCTGGAGAATCCTCCAACGAAATGAAGGTTTGTGTGGGAGAATCATCGAAAAAATCATCAGCCGGGCCTTGCAGCCACTGCTCAGTTGATAATTGGTGTAAAAAAATGTAAGAACACCCCATGGCCGCGGGCTACAATCATCTAATATCATCTAAGATTATCTAAGATCATCTAGGATCATCTCTAGGATCATCTAAGATCATGTAATATCATCTAATATCATCTATATAATTAATTCCCTGATTATGTCCTACTGCTGCAGGCATTCCTGTTACGTTGGCACCCTACTTCGTTACAAAAAGCCGAGCCGCAGCCACCAGGTACTTCGTTCGCCACTCGGGGCCCATCAGCTTCGTGATCTCCTTAGCGCAACCGTCCCACTGGTGGGAATATCATGGGAAATGGTCATCAATTACTATGGAAAAATGGCCATTTTACTGGGAATATATCAAGAAATGGTGATTTTTTTAATAATGGGATATAGTATATCAGGAAGATACCCTCTGGGAATTGAAGACTTTGCGAACTGGAACATAGCCATTTAGATCGATGATTTACCCATGAAACATTGTGATTTTGAATTGTTATGTGAAAAATTGTCATATGGTTTGCCAACCATAGATATGTACTTAAGATTGTGTAAGATATGCCAACGTACTTAAGATTATACCTGAGTGATAATCTTAAAGATTCTAAGTGCCACATCCAATCGATTGCAGATTCAGCCGATGGGTTGGTCTCAGTTCTGCAACTGGGCTTACAGGGACGAACATGGCTGGTATGGCTCATGGGGATTTCACCAACATGACATGAGATCATGAGTTCGTGATGTCCAAAATATCATGGAACTCACAGACTCACAAAAATCACAAAAAATGGGTCCGACAATTTAGTCGAAACCCCTAAACACCGACGTTTCTCTATCAAAGTTGCAGTGTTGGGTGTTTTTATAGGCCAGTAATGCTGTGCTCCGATCAAGAGACAAATCGGGGGTTCAACATGGTTCAACCAGAAGATGTTTTGCCTTTTAACCCGAAAATGGGTTGTGTTCTTCATCCCAGCATTTGTTTAAACATATGGAGCAAAAAAAAACCTTGTTGACAGTCATTTCCCATGTGTTTCCTCTCAAAAACCGACAACATCCGCCTGTGCCGTTTTAGCCGTGGATCTGGGTGTGCTTTCAGGATCTCCTTCCTGTGCGAAAGTGAAAAATGTTCAGCTGCGGGGAAGTCATGGATTTCAACCCGCAAAAACAGAAAAGATTCAATGGATCACTAGGATTGGACTATGGGGGTGGGTCAAAACCTTGGTACCTAGTGAACCCCAAAATAGCTGGGATTTATGGATGTTCATCCCATTAAAAATGGTATTAATAGGTATTGATCCATAGCCATATGTTAATTTTCCCGTTCTATCTTTTTGGGTGCTGAAATTTGGAAGCCACTGGAGCCTACGGCCAGGGTCGCGCTGAATGTGGACATGTCTCTGAACAAGAGATGGTCACACCCTTCAAAAATCGACCCAAATTTCAGAAACAATTACAGGGTCAACCTACCCTCTGGTAAACTAACATAACTATGGAAAATCACCATTTTTAATGGGAAAATCCACACTAAATGGTCATTTTCAATAGCTACGTTAAATTACCAGAGGGTAATGTCAACCTCAATCTTGACCCCTAAAAAAAACTGGCTCCCCACGTTCTCGGAGCCACTGATCAATTCCTCTTTCATTTTGGAGCCATAAAGCCCAAAACATCAGGCTTCGGGGCATCACTTTGAGCTATTGACTTGACCCTCAACAATTTGTCGAATGCCATTATGGATATACTGTGTATATATATATACCTCTTGAGCCACAATTTCTATATATTTTTGGTACATATTGGTCCTGCTAAGTTCTATACATTTTTTGGTCAGGCTCCAGGTAGTCTGTATTAATGATATTGATCATATTATATCATGTAACCTTGGAATCCCCACTAATATTCACCAAGTCGCCAGTCGGTGAAAAGGGACGTGCTCAGATTCAACTATCATTTGTTCAGTTCATATCCTCACTATTCAACTATCATTGCTTCATTGGAATGTATATATCTACATACATATATATATATAATTTTATATATATATATTCCTTCAAGAACTAAGCCAATCATGCCAGCTATTCACCAACCTCTCGACCAAGCCCCAGATTCCTTCTGGTGGCATGTGGTTCCAAATTGTCTGCAAAGAGGAAATCTCGTTCCTGCGCTGCAGCAATTTGAGACCTCGCCTGCCTGCAGCAAAATACACATGCTGCTGGATTGATTTATATTGATTGGAAATGGTACAGGAAACAGGAAACAAGATCCATGCAAAGAAAGCGATCAGAGATGTCCCCAAATGCTGGGTCTTCCAGTTTCAGTGGTTTAAACATGTTCGAACCCATCTCAAGAATGTGATTTAATGGGCATTCCCCCATTTTTTATGGAAGTTTTGATCTGGGAAAATATGGGAAAATCATTCAAAACTTCATGGGGACGTCTTCAGCAAGGCATGTGATCTGACCGGGATGGACCTCGCCATGGAGGGGGTGAAATCACTTGCTGGACGAATTGCGGGACCCAGAAAGGGAAGTGGTGAACATCAGCCGTATTCTGAACCTGTGTATCTGGGGATATTCCGTATATGTAACTGGCCTATGTCATATGGTTATTGCCCAAATGACCATATATATATATCGTATCTATCGTATCTATCGTATCTATCGTATCTATCGTATCTATCGTATCTATCGTATCTATCGTATCTATCGTATCTATCTATCGATCTATCTATCTATCTATCTATCTATCTATCTATCTATCTATCTATCTATCTATCTATCTATCTAATCTATCTAATCTATCTATCTATCTATCTATCTAATCTATCTATCTATCTATCTATCTATCTATCTATCTATCTATATATATATATATGTATGTATATGTATATATATATGTATATATATATATATGTATATCTATCTATATATATATGTATATATATGTATATATATATGTATATATATATGTATATATATATATATGTATATATATATATGTATATGTATATGTATATGTTTTTTGAAACGATCAAGTTAAATGGGACGGTCATGGGATTTGGTCATCCGAGATTCACGGAATTCTCATGCCATTAATTCATAGATGACCATCCACCAAAATATATGGACAAGTTACCGAAGTTGACCATGGCACATTTTTCATATTCCCCCTGACATACCCTTGAAATGGCTGTTCATGGTGGAACTTATGTTTCACCAGTAGCTGACTATGACCATCATGATGTTCTAAAATTTTAACCCCATCTTGCAGGTGAAATCCACCTGCAAAGGCATCCAGGGTTCATAGGAATTAAGGTCCACAAATAATGATTAATGCCGCAAACCCAACGATAAACCATCCCAAAGAAAAAAAAATATGGGTGGTTTCTATCGCATCCTGACATGGTAGGTTTATGATTGGGTTGTCCACATTGGATCCTGTTTTATCATGTTTTATCCATTGTGGGAGTAGTTTAGCTTCCTATCAGATTCTGCAGCGCCTCTTTGCTGTCGGAGCGGACGGAGCCCATGAATTGCGAAGCGGTCACAAGGGCGGGCGCTGCACGTCAACGTGGCGTCGCAGTGTGCGACACCGCTTGAGACCACTGAATTTCGCGGACCGTGATGAGTCGATTGGGATCATCAGCCCTACAGGGGGAAACAGAAAACATCTTTGTTGGACCACCAGGTGGTTCAAAAGAATGGTTCTGTTATAGGGAGAAACCAATTTCTTGCTCGAAATTCTAGGTACCTTCCAGTAAACAGATATGGTAATCGAAAAATTACCCATTCAGCTGTGGAGTGTAGCAGCCGAAATGGGGAGATGGACCCCCATTCCGGATACCTGGAAGGTAGTGCAACAGGTTGCTATGGAAAATGGCCCATGTGTAGATATCTTCTATATATATATACATATACTTCTATACCATATACCTATTAAAGATGGTCATTTTCCATAGCAAACTATTAGATTACTAGAGGGTGATGTATGACGACTCCCTCTCTGGATCATTTTCCCAACATCAAAATGGCCATTTGGAAAGTGGGTGTTACAGTAATCTCATTTTTTGGACAACCCCTATCCCAAACTTGACCCAAGGCCCTCAAATTGATGCTCCAATTCCATCATATTCCATCAGCCTCCTGGTCGCCCCACCGGTGGCAAAATGGTGATGATCCACTTCTCCGTGATTTAATGGATACTACTAGATCATACTACTGGATTGTTTATCCCAAGTGTTATCAATTATGGACCATAATGATCATAGATTCCATGGATATCAAATGATATCAATATGGTCAAACCCCCATGTTCCAATGAGTCGGCATTGGTCGGGACCTGAGGTGCCAACGACTCACAACCAAGAACAGCTGATTCCTGGCGCCCCCCGGCGCACCGGCTGAAATGCTGAAAGGGTCTCTGTTCGTTGAGGGGCGGCTAAACTGAACTGAAGGATGCAACTCTGACAACTTTACCAAACAATACCTGCGATAGTCACCCCAGTAGGAACCAAATCTGAGCTGACCACGTGGTGATTGGCAACGGGATGGACTTCAAAGAAACGCAGCAACCAGTCCCATCGATAACCACACGGCAAAGCCATTTCTCTGGATTAAAATTTTTTTTAAAAAAAAACTATTCAAGCTGAAATAAGGTCATTGTCTGGTAATCATCCATTTATCTGGTAATTGTGGGATGATGACCCTTACTAGCCATCCAGCTCACAACTTCCAGCATCATGGGCCAAAAACCGTCATCTTATGGGACAGTTACAGGGACCACTGGTTTGGCCAACTGGTTCCAAACTGTTCCAAATATGCTGTATCCGGTTCCTGGGTTTAACCCCCCTGAAAAACAGCAGTCATTGGGAACCATCTTCTCAAGTAAGGAGAAAACTAAGAAAGATTTAGAATTAAAACCACCAAGCAGATCTGGGTTTGTCCGAAAATGGGGTACCTCCACTGCAAAAGGATAAGCACCATTTTTCCAATTCAATTTTGCAATTCTTGAGGATATGCTCAATTTTTAGGACCAAAAAGAAATGGATTCACCGGCCTACACCCCTGACCACCAACCAACTGGTTGGTAAGGGTGTACCAACCCGTGATAGCTCGATATTTCGTAAATAAAGTGACTTGAAAGTCCCTAAAAAAAAAAAAAAAACGACTTTATAGAACAATTTGCGTGGTGTAATCTGGGCTATATAACCCAGCTACTTGTCATAAACTGCTTCCTTTGGCTGGGATACTTCATGAATTATGTCACCGTATTTATTTAGCCAACTACTCACCAACAATTCCAACTCCAGCCCCTAAAATTTCACAAATTGAAGTTGGGGGATGTTCAACAATCCATGACCTTTAAATTTTCACATAAAAACGTTTCCATGTGGAATTCAAAATCACCCAACAGATTCCCAACCAACAGATTCCCCGTTCTCGTCGTCCTTCGTATCCGTGGCGCTTCCTCCCCACCGAACTCCACATCTCCCAGCAGCGCCGGCGCGCCGTTTGCCGCCGCCAATTCCGCCGCGCTGCGCCGCAGCGCGGCGGCCGAGTGCTCGGCCGCGCCCCGCTCGGCCGCCAGGAGGTGACCGAAACGGACCTGACGATCGAAACGGACCATGTCACCAGTCAATGGATTGGTTTAAGGGAAAATCTACAGGAAACCATGGTTTTTACCATCAAATATAGGGCTTTCCTGGAAATTTTCCCATCATCCAATTCTATGAACCAGCCAAAAATGGAGAAAAAAGAACTGAAAATTTGTGGATTTCAGCAAACATGGAAAAATTCATGAGAGTTTGCCAGGCATGGAAAATCAGTGTTTCTGTAGCCACTACCTGTGAAGCAGCAGAGAGAGCGTCATTGAGAATATCATTTGAACATATTTGAAACAGATACATCCCGGAGGTCCGACCATCCTAACATCCCGAGCATCCTACTGGAAATATGTCGAACAAAACACCGAACAATTAAAACTAAACCGAGGTGAAACCAACAAAATTCACTCCTACTTTACCCTTTGACTTTTTTGCTCAACCTTTGAAGACCAGGGTTTATGCTATTGGTTTCATCACATCTTTGGCATCAGATCCGAGCAACACTTGGCTCCATGCGACGTAGTGTCCACCCCGTTGCTGCCAAAAGCTTTGCTTCGTCCCAAAGGACCCCGCCAGTCACGAAAAGGCCCTGAAAGCATCGCGATGGGCTGGACAACCCCTGCAGCGCCGCGCGCGCTGTCTTCGCAACAAGGACACAACCTTGTTGCGAAGCAGCGATTTGGACAGTGGGAACTTAATATTAGACAAAAAAGAGAACTGGTGAAGGACAACATTTGGATCTCTATATTGCATGATGCTGTATTTCAGAATGATCTTCTTAAGAAGCATGCATTTGCTGTATTCTCTGACGAAAAACAGGCCCACTTTCTTCTGGATGGTTCAGGCCTCCCATAAGAAGTCTTGGTCCACTTTATGGAACAACACCTTCCAAAAATAAAAGTCGTTAAGGTATGTTGAGGTGAAGACTCATGAGTCTCAACATCCAAATCTCAGGGTCTCCAACATGTATTTCCTTGAAACTCCAAAGACCCGGGGAGTTCTGCTTTCGAGACCCTTCCTTCGAGGTGATGATCCCCCAAAAACCACAACAACAGAGGGAAACACCATAGAAATAGCTGGCCAAACTGCTGGGTTTTTCCATCCCCGGACAGCGTCGCCCAGGCGACCACCGATCTCGGCTTCCAGAAAATGCAACGGCACGGGAGCTGGCAAGGCGTCCTCCTTTGAAAAATGGCGAACCCAGGCCCGGCCCCCCAAAAAAGGTAAGTTGGGAAACACAACCAACAAAACTGAGAATATAACTGGCAATGTAATGGGAATGTAAAAGAGATATGATAGGGATATAATGGGACTATAACGGGAATATAAAGGGATATGTACTGTCGATATCATGTGTATAAATATATTATTTGGTATGTACCATGGTCAAGAAACGTAGTATGAATGCGGTGTGGTCATACCACCATCATCCTTAGAATTGGTATGTAAATCGTTACTAATTCGGGAATAACATGCCTTTTATCTGTATATTGTATATATAATCCAACTTTTGACACGCAGCATGTAGAGTCAACTACACTCATCCAACTTTTGACCGCGGCACATATAAAATATCAGCAACAAATACAGTCTCAATTATTCAGGAATAACCCCGGTACTAATCGAGCGTTTCGTTCAGCGGGTATGTCATACGAATGGGGGAAGGGATTAGCTTTGTTTTGGCTGATGAGTGAAATCACCTGCTTGTTTCCTAACGCTTCCATTATATCATGATATGCAGGTTTCATATCATCTGGGTTCATCTCCGTGACTTCTCTTCAGAAGTATGACTCATAATGTACACATCTAGACATATTATATACACGCATATATATGTACGTATATTACCACATTCTAGATGCACTCAAATTCGCCAACTTAATCTTACCCCAAGCACATCAAATCCCGGCTTCGTCACCTCTTTGGAAGGATGCAATGATGCGCCCTCTTCTTTGGCCGCCAGCATGTTGGCTAAGGTCCGTATGCCACCTACGGAGATGCCCATATACACATAGGTCTATATGTATATACATATATACACACCTACGCATATGTCAAATTTCAAATTTCAAACATGAATAGATGATATATCTGATATGTGGATGGTATTAAGCCTGACAAGATAAAGCCATAGCAAAGGTTTAAGCCAGGGTATTGCATGAAACATACCCACGAGGGGTTGATGATGGGATTTGCCACTGGGGATTTACGGAACATGTACCTGGGTGGCAAGAGGAGTTGTAACATAGCTGTTTTGGCACAGCAAAAGGATTGGTCACGACGGTCACGTTGTTATAAGAGTATGTCACGTGGGTACAAAATTCATTGCTGACCAGCTAAAATATCATTGTTGACAGGGCATCTCGGATTGGCCATGATGTCACTATGAAGTGGGTTCTACTTCTACCCAAAATTGGACGTTGATGATCATACTGCCAATCAAAATAAAACAGAGGGGAAGATCTCCAAAGATTAAAGCACGAAACTCTCCCCGGCCAAGGCTCACCCACATTTGAAGACAAACGAAATATCGTAGCTAGTCCTCATCCTGGAAATATGTTTCGGCATCTGTGTGGGGCTTTCAATTTCATCCATTGAAAACCTAAGTATGGTTGGCTTCCCTATGATGTTCCCACTATAATCCCATTGAAAATCCAGTTATATTCCATGTAATCCGATGATATTTCAAAGTTCATTATTCGGAATATCATTATCCTATACCCTCTGGTTATTTAACATAGCGAACTGGAAGTCATGGCCCGTTGATGACAACAAAATAATGATTTACTGGTTGGTGGTTTCAACCCCTGAAAAATATGAGTTCGTCAGTTGGGATTGTTATTCCCAAATATATGGGAAGTCATAAAATTCATGTTCCAAACCACCAACCAGTATATGACAACAATGATAATCATGGTTTACCTATAAAAATGCTTATGTTCCATATAAATCCATTATAAATCCATCCAACCACCGGCGAATCTCAGTATCCCTGATTTTGCCAAGGCACCAAACAGGCGCAGTCCAGGCTCCTTTACCACCACCGCCAGATGGTCGTCTTCCCACAGGACCACCTCAAATTCAACACGGCGATGCCGAAGTGGGGAAAACCTGGGGATTTCTATGCAGGATTTAACGTATTTAACGTAGGTGAAGCAAGAATTATGGGGCCATTTTACTTCCATATCCCCAAAACATCTGAAACAACTAAGGGAATAGCTGGGGATTGCTATGGTTGATGATCTGCGATAGAAATCACACCAGTTTCCGGGGAGTCCAAATCCAGCTCTCAGAAATCCCAAAGAAAATCTTGAACCAGTGGTTGTAGCCACTTCACATGAAATCAAAGAAAGGTCCAGGTGGATTCAGAGTGGATTCATTGGATGATCGCATTGGATCCGTTGCCGCATCCACTTTGTAAGGTCCCAAGAGATCACTAGAAACAAGCACCCAATGGATGGTGCGTTGCCCACCGTTGCCGTTGCCCCGGCACCAGCTTGGTCTCGTGGGGTGAACGTCGTGGATAGTCAGGCACGAAGAGAATGGTCTTTCCTTTGATGGACTCACCTCAGCAGTCCAAACGACACAAGGATTTTTTGCCCCACGTCTGCAAGTTGGTTGAAAACCCATCGAAGTATATATGATATGTGATATACGATATACGATATATGATGTATGATATGTGGTATATTGTTGTGTATATATGGTGATATATCTACCATAACCCCTTGTTAATCTACTTATCAACTCTACTTATCAACCGACTTCGCAAAGTAGGGGGCACCACCTTGTAAGCATGTCCGGATGGTATCTACTTGGGGGCTATCAATGTGGATCCCAGATTCCCTGGATATAAATCGTTGCTTTACCCAATTTAAGTGTTCACTAAAGATTGAAGACCTTCCAAACATGGATCCTGAAAAAGGCGAGTGTGGGATGGCTAGTTCAATCAATTGCGAGGACATAATTTGACCACGAATCTCGTGATATCCTTTAATGGCTAATTGGTACGGATTTACCAACCAGAAATGGCTGGGACTCCCATCATCGACCCTGTTAATGCCTTGCAGTTTTCGAAAATGTGATCTATGGCCAAACCAGCCAGAGATTATCAGAGATTTATGGAGAAGTGAGGACCCAGGGCCCAGGACCATCCAGGGCTCCTGGGATGAGCGCAGCATCCCCAGTCCACCCAGTCCACGTCCAGGTCACTCCACCACGCTTGCCGCAGAGGACCCAGCTCGGCACCTGGCGCACCTGGAGCTGAGGATCGGCCACACGAGATTCGGGGGACCAAACAAACAACCGAGAAGACACCATATCAATGTATATTTAAATGATTTTATATCTGTATATACATATAGTTATACCAACATGATTATCGTCCTTAATGTCATCTTTGTCACTATCACTATATACTACTGTATTTTTATTGTCATGAGCATGTGTGTGTCATCATTATCACGATTCTTATCATATTCTTATCATTACATGCATATGTACATATATATATATATACACACGTCTCCGTGTGTGTATATATATATATTATACGTATGTTTGTAGATGTGTGTATCTGCAAAAAAAATGTCGAAACAATTCATACAATACATTATTGCTAGTTTTCCCATTGATTTTAGAACTACAGTACTTCCTATGATCATCATCGCTGTTCCTATTCTTAACAAATATGTCATCTATATCCATACTTACGCATATACATACATACGGTGAGTGGTTGCGAAATCCTGCACCAGTTGTACCTGGAAGCTGGACAAGGTCAAGCCAAAATCGACTTCAGTGGCGCAGAGAGTTATATATACCATGGCATATCTGTATAGATACATGACGATACATGTATATAGATATGTTGTCATATCAAAATATAATGTATATGTGTATATATATATGTATACATATATATACATATATGTGTGTGTAATATCACTATGTTCACTATTTAGTCATTATTATCACTAATGATTATTATATATTATTATCTTACTTATTCATCATCATCATCATCATCATCATCATAAATCAGTACCAGTGTTATCATCATTATTCCAGAGTCCCATGCAGTTGTTTCTTTTATGAAACATGATTACGATCGTTGTGGTTAGGATACTCATCACTATCCTCCCAATCACTGTCCTCATCCATTACTATCGTTGGGATATAATGCTATTGATCTCTATAGAAAATCACCATTTTTAGTAGCTACATCACCTCTAAATGGCAATTTTCTATAGCTAACTTCGTTTTCTGGAGGGTATACCCTCTGGTGATTTAACATAACTATTGAAAATCACCATGCTATTCATGGGTAAATCAACTATTTCTATGGCCATTTTCAATAGCAAACTGTTAGTTTTCCTGGCTGCACCACCTGACTGCACCACATCCTCCGCCATCCACACGCGGCCGCGCGCCACCGTCCGCCGCGCCACGGAGGACGTGCTGAAGAACGACGGCCAGCGCTGCAGCAGGAAATCCGTCAGCGGCACATCTGCCTGACGGAGTGGGGCAAAAATTTCAGAGGTTTTGGCATTTTCACCATTTATATATAGTTGTATAAATATGTATTATATATATATATTACATAGATATATATATATATATATGTAATATATTAGGAATTGATATGGCGAATTGATATGAGGAATTGATACGGGGAATTGACAGGAAGTTGTTCATTGGGATATCACCAATATTCAACAAGAATATCAAAGATAGGAACTTAAAAGTGGTTTAAGCATCCCTATTTGGCGGCTTCATAACCACGAATCATGGGATAGTAATGTGGATCAAAAGAGGGAGTATCACATGGGATTTAAGCAAGAAACAATGGGAAAACAGAATTTCATGGAGATGTGATTGGGAGATTCTCAAAATCAATGATATGTATGTGTATATCTGTCTATATATATATATATGCGTGTGTGTGTGTGTGCGATACATTTACATTCATATATACATGTATATAAAAATATACATGTATATGGGGATACAATGGGAGTTGTTGATGGGATATCATCAACAAGCACATCAAAACAAAGGTTTAACCGTCAATCACTGGGTTGTGTAAACCGTCCGGAAATGGGGATAGAACCAATCGAGGACGGGATGTGTTGACCAAAAGATTGAATATGTACAGCAATCCCCAAAAAGTAGAAACATCACATTCCACTAGTGGTAAATCACTGTTCTATCTTTCTGGGGTACTATAACCCACCAAGTCTCTTGTTTTTCGTCCTACTGAATTTGTGGAATGTTTCCCAGCTACAACTACTCGAAGATCCTGTTTTTCGAGGTTCCATACCACAGCCAAAGTCATAGGGATGGGATGTCCAAAAAAGGGTGACGGAAGCCAGCATTTTGCATGAAACGACCTTGCAGAAGAGGCAGAAGTGGGAAACGAATGAAAATTCCGGACAGAAGACGACGTCCCTACCGAACACATGGGGAAAACACATTCCCATGGTTCTTTGATGGTTGTTGGCTGTAAACTCGCTGCCGGTATTTTTGAGGAATCACGAATCACAGCTAAAGCTAAAAAACAAGCGCTATATTGTGAGACGCAGTGACAGGTGCCATCTCGATTTATTTATATGTGGGTTTGTCCAAGAGAATTACCAACAAAATAACGATGTGTTCAAGTTTTATGGGAACATGTGATATACATTATATATATATACACTCTATATACAGTATATATATACTATATATACTGTATATATACTCTATATATATACTATGCATATTATATATATATGTATACTATATATATACTATACATATAATATATACTATATCTATATACTATATCTATATACTATATATATACTATATCTATATACACTATATCTATATACTATATCTATATACTATATCTATATACTATATCTATATACTATATCTATATACTATATCTATATACTATATCTATATACTATATATATACTATATCTATATACTATATTTATATGTATACTATATTTATATACTATATCTATATACTATATCTATATACTATATCTATATACTATATCTATTTACTATATCTATATATATATATACTATATATACTATATATATACTATATATATATACTATATATATATACTATATATATACTATATATATACTATATATATACTATATATACTATATATATACTATATATATATACTATATATATACTATATATATACTATATATACTATATATATACTATATATATACTATATATTATACTATACTATATATATATATATATAGACTATATATATACTATATATATATTACTATAATATCTATATATCTATATATATACTATATATATATATATATATACTATATATATACTATACTATATATATACTATATATATACTATATCTATATATATACTATATATATACTATAGCTACTATATATAATCTATATACTATATCTAATATACTATATCTATATATACTATATATATATACTATATCTATATACTATATCTATATACTATATCTATATACTATATCTATATACTATATCTATATACTATATCTATATACTATATCTATATACTATATCTATATACTATATCTATATACTATATCTATATACTATATCTATATACTATATCTATATATATACTATGTATAATATCTATATACTATATCTATATACTATATCTATATACTATATCTATATATACTATATCTATATACTATATCTATATACTATATCTATATACTATATCTATATACTATATATATATATATTTATACTATATATATATATATATTTATACTATATATATATATATATATATTTATACTATATATATATACTATGTATATATATATGTTATTTGTATCATAAACCCTGGAATTTGGGGGTTGCCGGATCTTGCAGGGACTCCATGTCTTGAGTCGCACCTCTTCTCCGTGATGGATCAGCACACAATCCTGAGGTCTTGGCGCCGATGCAACGTTCGTCATTTCAGGGGGGTTCCAATGGATGGGGATATCCCAAATGCATGGTTTACAATGGGAAATCCCTTTAAAAGATTGATGATTTGGGGAAAACCCCCATTTCAGGAAATCTCCATATGGTATTGGTAATTGGTCATCTTTATGATGGTAATATCATGTTTATATCATGATAATACTACATTGGTAATATCGTAGCATATGAAAAACACAGTAATATGTGTTTTCGATATGGCATGCGTGTAGCTTATCATGAACAATAGAGTATGCGTAATAACACTAATAAGAGTAAAAGGAATAATCATAATAATAGTGATAATCAATGATAATAATAATAGATTCGAATAATGACCACTGGAATAGCCATGGAAAATCATGGAACATGGCCATGGAAACAAAAGGTAAACATAATTAAACTAGACACCATCTACAAATGGCGAATTGTGGCAAATTCTTCGATTACCCTCTGGTGAACTAACATAGCAATGGAAAATGGCCATAGAAATAGTGGATTTTCCCATGAAAAATGGTGATTTTCCATTGCTATGTTAGTTCACCAGTTACCAGACGCGAATCTGACAAAAATGAGGATCCCTGCCCAACCCGACGCGGTGGTTTTCCGTGTCCTTTGGCTCCCGCGATGCCGTGGCGGAATTTCCCATCGCCAGCGCGGGGGCGGACCTGGTGGGCGGACCTGGTGGCGGCCTAGTTTTGTTTATGGTGACTCCGTGACGAAGTAGAAAAGTATGTCCATGATGGCATTGATCTGGGTAAATTATGGTAAATGATCAATTCATATCTCACTAACCTGAATCTTGCGGCCATTTGGGGATCATTTCCCTTAATCTAACCATGATTATTTAGGGCTCGGGAGAATTCCAGGGCTCGGTCGTCCAACTCTTCGGCACCATGATGGTGGCTTGCTCGAAATTGTGGGGGATACAATGAAATAGCCTCTGGTAAGTTAACAAAACAATGATTAATGATGGTTAATGAATGTTAATGATGGTTAATGATGGTGATTCATGGTGACTAATGATGATTTCACTTACTCTCTGGTAAGTTAACAGTTCGACCCTGAGAATGACCAATTTATAGTGGTTTCACTAGTCTTCCAACCCCGATGAATGCCAGGGTCTATGTTAATTTACCAGAGGGTATATCATATATAAACAATTAATAAGAACCCATATGATATGGGTTGTCCGAAAAGCAAAACATCATATATGCATATATGATCAAACACAAAATAGATCAAACATCCCCCGTTTTTGGACAAAGAAGTTCCGGAAGCTGACCCAATATCAGGGATAAAAACAAACAGAATGGGGATATGTTTGGCGTTAATCCATGTAGAATGGGGGATTAGAATTCTTTGCTCAGGGATTCTTTTTTAAAAAAATGACACCATATTCGCGGGAATGTCTATGCACAACCACCAGCTCTTTTGATATGAACAGCAAGTTACCACGGGCGATATGGGAGAAGAAAGAACTGGATTGTTTTCACTTTCACAAGCTTGTTGATCTGATCAGCATGTGTTTTTCGCGAAACTGTTCTTTTTGCAACCCGTCCAGTTGTTCAAAACGTGTGGTGCCCTTTTTTTAAAATCAACAAACTCTTGGAATTGAAACTGCATTTGGACGCTGAAACTGTTTGCAGAAATTGTGAAGCTCCAAATCAGGCACAACAAAAAACCTGTTGATTGTTTCGGCGCTGCGCAGAATCTCAACAATTCTGATTGATGGTTTGAGGTACCAGAATCTCAGAAGTTTCGGGTGTTTCTCAAGCACCGGAAATCCAAGACTGAAAATGGCAATCTAACCATCAAAACCACGGTATTTTTGGTCGTTGAGAGCTGCAAATCGCGAAGGCTTGGCCAGATATCATCTGTCACATGATCATAAAAGCCTCTTGCCATCCCTGCTTGCATATAAAGGTTCCGTACACATGGGATATCCGGGAAGCCAACTGACCAAGTCTAACAAAGGGCTTAATCTAACTCCTGGATACCTGTGTAAAACTCCGATACCCAAAAAGCAGAATCTCTAATAGACTACCTCAGATTCCTCCACAAAAATGGCTCACAATAGCAAACCATCCACCGACCAGTCACTCAGGTTTATCCCATCTTTTAACCATAATAAGTTTTCCGCTTTTAGAATAATCCTAAAAAATAACCATATTCATCACATCTGTGTAAATTGTCTGTTGTTTTCTCCCGTGTTTGCTCAACCGCTTTGTAGAAAAAACGGTGGGTTTCCCGGCTTCCCACCCGTCCCTTCCCTTCGTCGACGACCTCACCGTGGTCCGACCGTCACCGTCCAAGCGTTCGAAGACCAAGACCGCCGCCGGCCAGCCGCCCACCGTCACCTGGTATTGGGCTTCTTTAATATGTCATTTAACGTAGTATATCATAATGGTTCTATATGATTATAGTCATTATTGTTCTTATTATAGTATATGTAATGTTGGTTTTACCCTGATAATCGTTATATAATATTTTTTATTGTTGTTGTTGTTGTTGTCGAACATAGTATCATCGTGATCCTAGCTATTGTGTGTGTAATGTTCGTTTTGCCATGATCATTGTTATGATTGTTATTGTTTTTTATTTATTTAAATTTATATATATATATATGGTCCCGTGTCCCGTGTTCCCACCCCCCCCCCCCAATGGGATGGGGGGGGGTATGATGCCCCTGTGGTGGTGTATATACATACATACATACATACATACCTACCTACATACCTACGTACATACATACATACCATTACATTACCTTACCTTACCTTACCTTTTACCTTACATTCCATACATACATACATACATACATACATACATACCTACATACCTACATACCTACATACCTACATACCTACATACCTACATACCTACATACCTACCTATACCTACATACCTACATACCATTACATTACCTTACCTTACATTACCTTACCTTACCTTACATACATTACCTTACCTTACCTTACATTACCTTACCTTACCTTACATTCCATACATACATACATACATACATACATACACACATACATACATACATCATACATACATACATACATACATACATACATCCATACATACATACATACATACATACATACATACATCCATACATACATACATACATACATACATACATACATACATACATACATACATACATACATACATACATACATACCAACATACCAACATACCAACATACCAACAACATACCACCACCACAGGCCACAGGGGGGGGGACCAGAAGAACCATACCACCACCACAGGCCACAGGGGGGGGGGGGACCAGAAGAACCATACCACCACCACAGGCCACAGGGGGGGGCCAGAAGAACCATACGACACAGCCACAGGGGGGGGGGGCAGATACTGTACGTCCACCCATACCCATTGGTGGGGGGGGGGAGGGGGGGTGGCCAACGCTGGACCATATATATGTGTGTGTGTGTGCGTACTGGAGTTCTTTCTACCGCAGCTGCAGAACTATAGTTAAGGGGAGAACTCATTGTTTCCATCAGAACGTCCCTCACTTATGTATATTTAAATATTTATATATATATATATAATACATATGTATATGATATTGTTATTCTGGTTTTACTAGTATTCTTATTCATTGATGATCATAAACTATGGTATTATCAAGGTCATTATCGGTGTTGCTGATCTAGTAATCTGCAGCAATGATAGCAGTAATGGCAGAAATAGTACGAATAGCACTAATCGTAGTAGCCGTAGCAGTAGCAGAGCAGTAGTAGAGTAGTGGCAGTAGCAGTAGCAGCAGCAGCAGCAGAACCAGCAGCAGCAGCAGCAGCAGTAAGAGTAGGAGTAGTAGGAGTAGTAGGAGTAGTAAGAGTAGTAAGAGTAGTAAGAGTAGTAGTAACAGTAACAGCAACAGCAACAGCAACAGTAACAGTAGTAGTAGTAGTAGTCGTAGTCGTAGTCGTAGTAGTAGTCGTAGTAGTAGCCGTCGTCGTACCAGTCGTACCAGTCGTACCAGTCGTACCAGTCGTACCAGTCGTACCAGTCGTACCAGTCGTACCAGTCGTGCCAGTCGTGCCAGTCGTAACAGTCGTGCCAGTCGTAACAGTCGTAGCGGTCCTGGCAGTCGTAACAGTCGTAACAGTCGTAACAGTCGTAACAGTCGTAATAGCAGAAGTAGAAGTAGTTGCGGTGGTGGTGGTGGTAGTATTGTTTTTAGAGGAATAATGACTGTAACTTATGATAGTGAGACTTACTCATAAATATATATATATTATATTCTGTATGTATGTAGTAAAATGATAGTAAGTCTGGTAAAAAATAGCATTCCCAATAGATTTCTCAGATGGTGGGTTCAACACGAAAACAAAACGAAACATCTTCAGCATACCCAGGAAGTGGTTCAGAACTATATATTGGTCATAACTTATTATCCAGTGTAGTTGTAATCGTCTACAACTATAACTAAATGGAATCTTTCTCATGGCTGAAATGCTTGCCACTTCATGTTGAGCTGGACAAATGGTCACCGTTCACAAAGATGTGAACGCAATCGTAGTGATAATCAAGCTATCTGAGAGAATTCGAACTATTCAATCGAGATGTTCCCATTCCAAGTAATGTGGAAAACCCAATACAAGTAAGAAACCAAAATTAGGTTTGCTGTGAAATATGACCCGAAACCGTTTACACTCGGGTCTACCATATGGGCAAATGATAGTAAATCAAAACCCTGCAATGGTTGCTTTTTTGGGCTTGTGTACCTTCCAAATCATCAATTTACCAGGTCTGGTCATTGATGTTGACGCAGGATTAACCCCCAGTTTACGAATAGGGGTGCCAATTTCAATGGCAATGCATCACAATTTTGAAGGTACCCCCAATTTTTAACCAACAGAGTTTAGAATCCGGGTTTAACATTATGACTAGCACAGACAATGATCGACCCAACTATAGAGGAGATAGTCCCAAATTGTGAACTTGCTGGCGGGGAGGGTCTGGGTGTCATGGTCCAAACACCTAACCAATTTTTCACCACTATATAGTTGGAGAGCCCATGATACACCCAGGTAATCCCAGGTACAATAAAATAGACATAAACCAGTCAACCAAGTCAACCCATGATGAGGGCTACTCGGGGGCCTTAAATAGTGATGATCGGCTACTAGAAATGGTACCCCTATGGGACTCTCTGGGGACCAAACATCTGTAGATTGGGCTATTCCTCAATAGCTATTGAAGCCATGGCCCAGTCGAAATAGTGAGTTTTCCCATTAAAAATGGTGATTTTCCATAGTTATGTTAAATTACCAATGGGTAAAATTTTAACCCTCTGCCTTGCGGGGACAAGCAACTAAGTTTTAAATTGGAGAGTTCGTATAGATCTGGTTTTAGAGGTTGACTTCTTGCTTGCAACTTCTGGCCTTGTGGTGGCCCTTTTCGCACAACACCTGGCAGCAGAAAAGTCGCATGGTTGGGAGAAAGTTCGAAATCAACATTATCCGCGGTGATCCTGTTTCAGGGTATAAGCCTAACTTTCTTCATGCTGCTTGGGGGTGCATGGTATGACGGTAATAACCCGGATAAGTTGGAATATAACCACTACCATTATGGTCCAATTGGAACTGGAACTGCAACCCAAAGGACCCCAAGTAGTGTTGTTGAGGTTCTGCTGTCATGACCCTTTGCGCCAAGAATCATCCCGTTGAGCTGTGGAAGTATCTGGTGATGTAGTAGTCTGGATAAGGAGGTTCCCAAAAAGACATGTAGGTGGTTCGCGAAATTGGTGCACCCCTCTTACCCTCCGGTAATTTCACCTAGCTATGGAAAATTGTCCATTTACAGATGATTTACCATGATTTACCTAATTAAATGAATACTAAATGGGGATTTTCCATAGCTACGTGAAAATTTCCCAAAGGGCCTCACGACTATTACCCCAAAGGGTAATTACCAGTATTAATCATCTGCTAATGATTTATTATTTGGGAATTTATTAGTTGGGATATAACCACTGTTATTACCACGGTTATACCCATTAATAACAATTTATAACCGTTAACAACCCTTGATAAATCCCTATAAATTCATAGAAACCAGTCGAAATCACCGTGACTATGAATAATTATTGTCATCTATTATCAATTATCAATAGTCATATTTTTTTGGCTGTGGCACATAGGGATTTATTCGTCGCGGCCTAGCTGTCATGAATGAATTCTCCCAGTAAATCGTCAAAATGCAAAATCGGCTCCGATGTGTTGACCGTACTCCGTACAGGTCATGTCTTTACAACATTGGATGAAATCCGTCGGAGGTTCCGGCATCTGATCGTTTACTGGGCATGCATCAATGGCTCTGATGAGTGCAGTTGCCATGCTTTTGCAAAAGGCAGGCGCATATTCCTTAAGCACAGTAGTCTTCCATCTGCCCGCTGAGTCACGTCCAATTGCCTGCGCCTTTGGCAGCTCAGTATAGTCATATTATATATATATATATATTAATCCTTATCAATCATTACCAACCATTATTACTCCATTTTGATATCATATAATCAAGGTTAAATCATTAACCACTATTTAACAATTAACAAGCTTTAAAAACCACTATTCACCACCATGTAGGTTAATGGATGTTTATTCCCCAGTCATATGGTGATAGGTAACTTGACGAATCTCCATATGGGTATGAGACGAAGCCATCTGTGGTCCTGTCTCAAATTTTGACCCATCCCCATATCATCTTACCCTCTGGTAAACTAACATAGCTATGGAAATCACCATCTTTAATAGGTAAATCAACGAACTAAATGGGCCATTTTCAATAGCAAACTGTAACAAATTACCAGAGAGTATATTCCCATCATATTCCCATTCAATCACCATTTTTAAGTATAAACCGTTCCAAAATGCTTGGTTTACCAGCGGCTAATCCCATGGGCCATTCCCGCCTTCGTCTCTTCGCCGAGCTGCTGCACCTGCCGTGCGTGTTGCCGCGTCAGCAGCAGCACCGCGCGGCCGGGCGCACGGAGGACCCGCGCCATCTCCGCCACGAAGTCCGGGAGGAGCCCGTTCACCTGAGGAGTTCATGGCGTCACCAAAAATGACAGGTGAAGATGATGTGACCATCAAAAAATGGTGGTTGAACATGCTTGAACCAACTGAAAATGGTGGTTTATGGTCCATTAACCATCAAAAATGGTGGTCTAACATGGTTTAACCATCATGAAATATGAATGGATATGTATTGGCCAATTATCTAAGATCTGAAATACCCCATGACTGGGCCCCCAACTTGGATTAGGATCCAATACTCACCCAGGATGGGATGTCTTTTTCAAATATTCAGATGGGATTCATCCATATCTATTACCATCTGGTTATTTAACATGGCCATGGAAGATCACCATGCTATTAATAGGTAAATGATCCATTTCTATGGGCCATCTATACCATGGCTATGCTAGTCATAACCAGAGGGTACACAGCATAACATAAACCATCCACCATGTATAGATCATTTGATCTGGATCAATAACTGTTGGATCAGGGTGAGTGACTCTGCGCAGTTACTGTGAATATTAGTCTATTGCTAATGTTGTTACTAGATCTTACTAGTTGTTTCGAAACTTCAATAGAATTATCCTCGATGTTACTATTCTTATGGTTGTGTGTATTGCTTTTTATACTTACACTACCCATCATTATCATTGTTCACAAACCTCAAATGAGATGAACATGCATTTCGGATGATGATTGGTGATTGGGTTTTCACTTGTGGGGCTCGGTTGACCAGTGAGGACACGAGCATCTTTCCATATGTGTTTGAGATGTAAACCTAGTTGGATATGCATCCCAGATATGTATTTACATTAATATGTATATATCTAGTCAGTGGTGAGGAAGCCTGCTAATCATAAGTCTCCGAAGTGGAGTACTGTGTGTATATGTAATCACACACACATATTTGATCATGCTTTGGAGTATTTATATACATACTGCATACAGCATATGTCTATACATACACCAAATCAAACTTGGTGTACATGCGTGCTATCTAGCTACTAGGATGAAGAAATTCCAGCACCCAGACCCAGAATTTGGATCATTTCTCTTTCGGGAATGGGTCAAAACCCTGTACCCCTGATGAACATCAAGATAGCTGGTTAATTGATCTTCATCCCCCTAAACATGGTAGTCATAGGTGTTGATCCATAGCCGTATGACTACCCTGAACAGGAAATCTCGTCAAACAGGTGAAGGGAGTTGATGTTTGGAAAATCTGAATGTTGCTGGACCGAGATTTGCTCACCCAAGATTTCGACCACTTCCTCGTGGTTTAGGGTTGGCTGGTAATCCCAGGACTCCATTATCAAGGATATTTGCACAAGCTGGGTATCTCAAGGATTTCAAAACCACCGGGCGCCACAAGTGGAAACACGTTTGAAACAGGGATCACATTTACAGTTCCAATATTGAGGGTACCTATTTAGGGCCTGCTGGTAGGTCCTCTGTTTTGACCACCAAGTAGAACTTTGAACCATCAACCAAATCATTAAATTGATCTACCCATACTCTCCTCACATTTTGGTGCTTCAAACCGCCTAAAGCCATGAAAAACCATGTAAAGCCAGCATGTTTGCACCATAGCTGACCTTCAAACCAGCATTTTTCCCGGTCTTTGCCAACCTTAGCGCCTGCCAATTTTCGTTGTGTCGCCACGGCACCCACACCATCCGGTTGCGGTTGCCAAAGGGCACATCCGCCACCAGGGCATCCACCGAGCCGTCTGCGATGGAGCAAAGGCGGCGGCAATCCTCCTAGCGATGAGATGAATTCAGGATGTCATTCGCGTTCTGTGGGATGTTATTAATCCATATAAGTTAGCTAAATGGCTGGTTAATAATTCATATACCCTCTGGTAAACGTTTACATAATTATGGAAAATCACCATGTTCAATGGGTAAATCCACTATAAATGGTCATTTTCAATAGCTATGTTAAATTACCAGAGGGTGTATATATATATATGTGTGTGTGGGATGGTAAATATGTTTTTTTGTCAGCCGAACTTGGGATTTTCACCACACAACGACACAACGCTGATCCAACTAGATGGTCCACCCGGAGATTTGAAAGTGATCATGTTGGATTGGTTTAAGGGAAAATTTACAGGAAAAGCCCATATTTAATCGGAAAATCGATGGTTTCCTGTAGATTTTCCCTTAAACCATTTGATGTGTATATATTTCCAGTAGATTTTCCGGTGTTCTCACCGATGATAAACAATTAAACAATAAAAAAAACCTGTGAATCCAGAGATTTGTATAGCTAATTGGTGGCTGACCTACCCCCCTGAAAAATATGAAAGTCAGATTGGATCATCATCCCAACTATTGGGGAAAATAAAATTCATGTTCCAAACCACCAACCAGTTATACGTAGATGGAATACGCATATTAGGACTACAGTAAATCTAATGGAGTGGGTTCATCTACAAATCGCAAGTGATTGAATTTGAGACCATGGAGGTCTTACCATGAAAAACTGGCCCCAGTGGTTGCAACCTGAAAATTTACATGCGTACTAGTCAAAATCCAAATCTTTGCATTTGTTTCCATCAAAACAAAACTAAACAATATGTGGGTTCCCTTTGAAAAAAAAAACATGTTCAACCCCCCTTGAACATATATAGACAGTTGTGGGATATCCGCCCATTTCTAGCTTTGAAACATGTTGAGCCCGGGCTGTCCTGGGGCCGATGGTAGTTGGACCAAAACATCGTTGGCAAAAAAGACAACAAATCATCAAACCAACCAAAAATTTTCAAACAGAAAACATTCTAAAAAAATTATACCAGCGTTGACCCCAAACAGATCTAGAAATTTTCAATTATAAAAAAACACCCCAAATATTTTCTATGCCTTGTTTTTCTATGAAAACACGACAAAATCACCGAAAATTTCTGGTGGAAATCCACAGCTCCTGCCGCACCGTGAGCCGGGACCCTTTGGCGAAGCGCTGCGCAGTGCTCCGATTGGCCACTGCGGCCCGGGTGGCGTCCTGGCGTCAGAGATGATGTCTGTGACATAGAAATATGTTGATATATGGTATATATCGATCTATATAAATCTATATAAATATATGATAATACATGAAAATATATGAAAATACATGGAAATATATATATATATTTATATATATATATATATGAAAATACAAATAGAATATGTGAATGTATGAATATATGAATATATGCTTATGTATATATATATATATATGTATACTGGTTGGTGGTTTCAACCCCTCTGAAAAATATGAAAGTCAGTTGGGATGATTATTCCCAATATATGGAAAAATAATCCAAATGTTCCAAACCACCAACCAGTATATATGTGTAAGTGTGTATATATATATATGCATGTGTATGTATATATATATGCATATGTATATATATGCATATGTATATATATATATGCATATGTATATATATATATGTAGTTGTACAATTTTGTGACTTAAATAATTCTTTAATACGAAATGTTGCAGTTTGTGCAAATAATATAAATCAACAACTAGAAAATCTAAAAAAAATCTAAAAGAACAATACTCTCAATATGATTTTGATCATATGATTCTTGATCATGGAAAAAATCTCAATGAATATAAATATCCTGGTAGTGCTCACACAGATTTAGTAAATGCATATTAATATATGCACAGGTATAGAGAAAATCATTGGTGTAAGTGTGTTTGTGCGACCTAATTTGACATAGCATCGTCTTATTCATAAACACAACACCAAGCGAGTATGTCACATTCAGAGACTTCAAGGAGGCTTGGTTTCCGTCTCAAAATAGACAAGAAATCAATCAAAAACGAGGGGAATCCCCTTGAAGGGGAATCCTGGGCAAACCACCAACCCAAAGCGCCAGTTGAGCAGTGTTCAAAACCGGCAACGTCATTCCATGAAATGCTGGTAAGGAACGGGATTCCAATGTCATTGGTATAGCCCAACTGCATCAACTATAGTACCCTCTGGTAATCAAACATGAAAATGTACCATACCCCATTTAGTTCGATGATTTTCTTACTAAAACCTCCATTTATAGTCAATTTCCCAGCCACCTTTGATCACACCAGAGGGCAACTATAGTCCCCACATGTCAACCATGTTCATCAACCAACCAGGGTTTTGAACATGAAAGTCCACGGAATTTATTTAAAAAAAAAAAAAACATTAAATCACCACGAAATCCCATACATTCGCTACATGTTCATAGTTTAAACCCCTATGAAATGACTATCATTCAAACGCCTTTCTGTCAAGCAGCCCAGCTGATGTCCGAGCTAATGCTGTCAGTGCGCCAGCGCACCGCCGCCTGACGGTACCATATGCACGTACGTTAATATGCACAGATAGACAGATAGACAGACAGCTAGATAGATAGGATAGATAGGATAGATAGGATAGATAGGAGAGATAGGATAGATAGGATAGATAGGATAGATAGGATAGATAGGATAGATAGGATAGATAGGATAGGTAGGATAGACAGGACAGACAGACAGACAGACAGGATAGACAGACAGGATAGACAGGATAGACAGGATAGACAGGATAGACAGGATAGACAGGATAGACAGGATAGACAGGATAGACAGGATAGACAGGATAGACAGGATAGATAGGATAGACAGGATAGACAGGATAGACAGGATAGACAGGATAGACAGGATAGATAGGATAGACAGGATAGACAGGATAGACAGGATAGATAGACAGGATAGATAGGATAGATAGGATAGATAGATAGATAGATAGACGATAGATACGATAGATACGATACATACGATAGATACGATAGATACGATAGACCATCTGGAACCTGTCACTTGCTCAAGACTTCACAGAATCAGCTGTTGCCCAACATTCTTCGCAAACATCCAGCTGTGTTTCCTGTTTTGAGAACTCGGCAAATATGTCGGAGCATGTCAAGTTGAAGGCTTCACCAAACTTTTTTTCTAATCTCTGCGGCTTCCTGACATCGCGTTTCTGCCCGGAGTTGTGAACGGCGAACGGCTATTTGAAATTCAAGGAATCTGGTGGCAACACAAAAGTTACGAACTATTGACTATCAGGTATGTTCGTATAGGTAAAAATTGTGGATCCTCAATCTATGTGGAAGCTTTGACAAAAAACATGTACCGAACCATCCAAAAAAAAAGACCCACAATATCCCATATCTCATATCTATAACATACTATAACCATCTATATATAACCCATTAATCAACCCACATCTATGTTCTTGACACAAGGTCAGCAGCATCGATTTTTCTATGCACCCTCGGACGCCAGTCAAGCGCAGGGCACTATTCCGGCATCGAAAATCTGCCAGACTTCGATTTGGCGACGCGCAGTGGGTGAACAGCTTTTTGAAGTGATTTTCCGAATGATTGGTCCTGATTGATCCTTTGTTTATCCTGATTGGTCCTTTTATCAGTAAATCATGGTGAATCAAGAGATTGCCCCAATCAGGATTAATCCCCATCAGTGATATCAGTGATCCTGATTGGTCCTGATAAGTAATCCTGATAAGTGGCTTCACCATGACTTCGAATCGCCCAAAATCGGTCCATCGGTCTGTTCCCCCAAGGCAGTTCATCATTCCGGATCTGCGGAGCATGGACGTAGAACCATTGGTCGACTCACAACGGCTGCCGGTGCCACCTTAAGTTGTGTCACCGTCTGGTTAAATCATATAATCATATATATATCATATATATCATATATTATACATACTATATATAACATAATATATTCTGGTTCTTCTGACCATTGCTGTGGGTACTTTGAATGTGTATAATTAGATAGGTGGTACATTGATGTCAAAATCCAAGCTCCAAGCAGATCATGTTCAGCCGGGTCATTGGCGCTAGCCGCCGAAGGGTACCATGCGAGCCTCACCAGCTTCTTCATCTGGCACCAGACCACCTGAGTTCTTTAACGGCCAAACATGGCAAAAACCCTGCAGATTTGGTGCGAAAAAACGGACCAGTGACGCCAATCTTTTTTAAAAAAACGTGCACAAAAATTCAAATCAAAGTGTTGGCTCATTCGTAAAATATTCCCATGTTTGTTGGCTCATCCAACATTCATAACATTCCCAAGTTTCGCCACAAAAAGTGCTGGGATTGTTGGCGCGTAAAATATGTCCAGCTTCCAGGGATGATAGGTCCATGTCATTTGGCCCATTTTGAAGTGACCATCTTGGTCCAAGAAACTGGGGCTGGTTCATGTCCAGACACACCCAGATTGGATGTAGTTGGCATATATCGCTGTAGCACCATGGTATCCCCCATGATATCCCCTTGATATCTCAGATGCCCACCAAATCCCAATGATGTCAATGATATCTTGGTATCACCACCCAATCCCCTTATGTACCCTCTGGTTATGTCAAAATAGCTATTGAAAATGTCCCAGTCAAAATAGTGGATTTTCCCATTAAACATGGTGGATCTTTCCATAGTTATGTAAACGTTTACCAGGCCGGGTAAATCCCCATCTGAAACCAGTGACCATCACTGGACATCCGACCTCCCCGGGACCGGCTCCGCGCCTAAAAACTGGGGCAACATCGAGAGCTCGAGCCCGGAGTGTGCGCGCAAGCCCTCCTGAAAATCATCGGCCAGGAAGGCGACCTTCGCACGCGATGTCAGGTGTTCCAATATGGACTTTTTAGGAGAAAATCGACCGGAAACCAGTAAAACATATAGTTTAAACATATTAAAAACCATGGGTTTGTTGAAGTCCCTTAATAATCTTAATAGTATTTAGGATATTTAGGGTGTCCTGTAGATGTTTCATGATGTTTCCATCCTCCAATTCTGTGGTTGGGATGCACCGAATAGTGATGTGGGGGGTTCATCTCAAAGATGCTGTGGAAAACCCCTAGAAACCAATGGTTTGACAATTTAGAGGTATACCCCCATTTTCAGATGAATCGATACAATGCGACACAGAATGGACCATTAATCCCAATGACTAGGATGCACCTAGGGACTCCTATTGTATATAGTAATGTCAACATGCTGATATCATCAGGGGCTTTTCATCCTGAGTCGATTCCGCAGTTGAAGAAGGTTCAACTACACACTTAACCACCAAATGTTCATCGAGTTGAAATAACTATTCACCCGTTATCCAATAATAATAACAATCATTAGTACACAGTACTACTACCACTATAAATATTATAATTCTTATCATGATCAATAACTAGTATATATCATATGGGGGTTGTTCAAAATTATGGTTCCCCAAAACTGCCCTTACGCCGCGCTTTCGGGACCCTTTGGCGCCCAGCAGAATCAGGACACGGAATTGTGATCATGTTTTCGTGTGCATACTTCGTATAAATAGTGGTATTCAGACCCTTCGCGAACCTTTCGCCGAGCTTTCGCGGCCTTTCGCCACTGCAGCAAAAACACACGTACATATCTGCAGATGTCACTCACATACTTAAATTCTTGCATGGGCTTTAGAACGACTCCCATATATATTAGCATCAATATTACTGTTGCATATACAGTACATTCTGAATATTCTGAATATTCTACATGATCATCAATATTGTCAAGAATACTAATATATGACATACCCATGAAATCCACGATAGTCCCTGGTTAACCACCCTTCTCCCTTTCCCATTGCCCTTCCTTCTGTTGCACATGTTCCGTGAGCCAGGGCTTTAAGATCTCGTAGAGTGCTACCACGCTCCAGTGCGCCCGCACCACCGTCACGGTCGCCGACACTTCCGGGAAGTGCTCCTCAAGGGAAGGCCAAGCGGGAGGATTTCTGTGATTTCTGTTGGTACGAAACAGAAAAAATGGAGCTTGTACCAGCAAATCTCTAGAAAAATGGGGGTTGTACCACGAAACCTCAGGGTTTAACAGTGTAACGACCAAAAAGTATGAAAGTTGGACCAGCAAGACTGAGGGTTCCAACAGCAAAATGATGATGTAGATTAAAATGTTGTTTGGCAACAATGGTATACAATGGTGATAATTCAAGCAATCCATAAACGCAGACAAAGATCCCCTCCTTTCCGGGATTTCTGCTGAAAGTCTTAATATGTTTTAATAGTTGGCAGATGTTTGGAGAAGCGATTAATTACTACAAGACCACCGACATGTATTGTTCACAGTTCAATCTGGGTCTTACCTTTTGAGCTACAGAAATCTTCTAACAAGGATGAGGGGTCCAAAGAAGCCGTTCATGAGAGCACAAGTTAAAGCCATCAAAAAAGTGGGCAGGCCAATAATTACTTCAAAATGGTCTGTGGCGGGTTCAGCTGATTTTTCTCGAGTTGTGGTGGTTCAAATTGCACGTTCGATGGTAGAAATCGTTGAAGTCCATTTCACTGTCCATCCTCAAAACATACAGACCGACTATGATTTTTCTCTGATCTCTGGTTGATCCTGGAAGTAATATGATGGATGACTTGGCAATATGGTAACACCATGTCGTGTACAGACCGACTTTCTGAAAAGCAACTGCCAAGTCTCTTGCACGAGACGCATGATGTGTCGCAGAACCTGCCGACTCGATGAAATGACAAGAAAACACGCGGAATCCAACAGGATGGTCGGGATGGTGCTGCGGGGCGTTCACCGGCGATGTTTAGTGCTGACCTATCCACATATTCAGAAATAGAATAGGTCGAACAGGACAAAACAACCGTGAAATGGTTATAAAATTGACATATAACTGAAACTGATATGGGACACCTTTTCGAGAAAATATGGATAGAGTGCTATTGAACACTTCCGGGAGACATCTGTGCAGCTCGCATCGTGGGCAAATGAGCCTGGAACTGTGCGTTTCTGATGGTTTCCTGGTTTGAAACCACCAAATGGACTGATTTTTTGTGTGGCAAAAAAGACTAAATTTACAAAATTACATCAGATTGCTATTATTGTTAGCCTGACTCAAAAAACGCCAATCGGGTTATAGTCCAGTGTTCTGCCATGTCTGGTTCATCAACCAACCAAGTAAAATTACCCATGCATTCCCACGGTCATATCCTTGACCATGGCCTTTACCAATTGTTCCATCGGAAATTGGAAATTCAGCCGACAAAATCTCATGTGCCCAGTTTTGCAGGCTGAATCAAGGTGAATCTCCCATGTTTGGTGAGATCATCACATCACTGTTTCACCACGCTGGAGCCTGCAGGTATCTCAGATTTTCGAGGTCAAAGTTACTAGCATCCACCTCAGCGAAGCGGAGCGAAGCGGTCGCTTTTTATGGGATTGAACTTATCAAAATGGAGATAAAAAAAACCAGCAAAATGGGGATGTTCATCCCCAACCGAGATTGTGATTTAACTTACCAAAATTGGGATTTCTATAATTTTCTATAGGGGATTTAAATGGGTTTGATTCAACCAATTATGTTATGTTCAGATTTTTGGGATGGTCGAAAGTGTGGGAACAAGTTTTTTCACATGATACATGGGGGCACCCCCATGTAATTCGACCACTGGAAACTGGATTTTTAGGGGGTTCAACATTCAACATTTGGATTCAATAAATAATAATGTTGAAACATTGTGTTTATTTATTGGATTCAACATTTGGTGTTCATTTATTCAACATTCCACAAAAATGGACAATTCAAACAAAAAAACATCGAGGATTTGCCCATACACCAAAAAAAGTGTTGACAATATCCACGATTGAAAAGGTAAAGGCGCCAAAAAGACATGCCAAATATAGATTTTTATCAGTCAACCAATCTTATTCCCATCCTCCCGATTTAATTGTTCTCACAGAAAACTGCATGGGTATGCATCACTGATACCACCCTTGGTTCTCTATAACCCCTTTCTACATCCTCCCGTTTCGGTCTGTCTGAAAACGGGGTAGGCCCTTTAGACCCCCCCAACAAAATGCGTTTTAATTGATGATTAGTTTTTGGTGGTGTTGCCATCATGTCCAAACAAATCATTGCAGACAACCTATGCTCTTCCAATATAATACATACATCATACTATAAATAAATACATAATTAGAATCATGTGCAGTAAAAGAGTAAGCTATACACTTATTGCAAAGTTATATGATGTCATATGCAGAATTGACAACTAGTTATAGATAACTCCCATGCCATCCAATAGAATTACACTCATTCATAGTTTTTACACCCAAATATTTATAGATAATATAGTTATTACACTCAATCATCATGAATCTAGATATCTATAGATAATAGATTATAATTATCATTACACCCAATTATCATTCATCATAAATAGTTACCCTCTGGTAATTTAACATAGCTATTGAAAATCACCATTTTTAATGGGAAAATCCACTATTTCTATGGTCATTTTCAATAGCTATTTTGACATAACCAGAGGGTAATAGTTCTAGATATCTATAGATAGTATCCATCGAATCCTCCACTGTTTTTCCATCCCAAGTGACCACCACCCGCGCCCGCACCAAGCGCTTCCTTTCGCGTGTGGCGCTGCGGCAGCTCTGCAACGCGTCTTCGAAGTGTGCCACGAAACCGCGAATCATCTCGGAGACCTGGGGGATTTTTCGGAAATCTGGGAATTCAATGGCCATTACCCTCTGGTAATTTAACGTAGCTATTGAAAATGACCATAGAAATAGTGGTTTTTCCCATTAAAAATGGTGATTTTCAATAGCTATGTTAAATTACCAGAGGGTAAGGGAATATCCCCACCAAATATGGCCAGAAATATGATACTAACGTACCTTCATTTTAGGATGGAATTCCTATTGACTCATGTAGAAGATATTGCCAGGTAAGTATACTTGTGGGATATAGAATTATATATATATATATACAATTGTGGAATATTGTGGTCAATCTAATTTAATAATTATTGGGATATTCACATCATAAATGGATATCAATGGGATATTAGCTAATGTGGGTAAAACAATGCCATAAACCATCCCCCAGTCATCACCACTTTTATAGGTGGTATGGTTACCATTCCCAGTCATGGATGATTCATTATTGTTTTACCCACATTATACTTACTTGTGGTGAATTAAGAAATTTACTGTAGGATGTTCAAGATTCATAAGTATCGAGTGAATCACTGTTAATTCTCTTATCTATGGTGTTTATATCACTAAGAATGGGCTAATTACTGGGCGAATAAGTAACTGAATTGCTGGGTGAATACATGGACTAATTAACGTTGGAAATATAAGAATTTAAATCTGAGCAATAACGAAATGACTAAATAACATAATAACTAGATAAAATAGGGTTAACCTAATATCAAAATTACGTGGGTAATAAATCGGTGAATTAATGTTAGAAATGCAATATAATACAATGGGAAAATAATGTTAGAAAATCTGTTGGGTTAATCCAAAATGATTCTCCCATATACAACAAGCAATCGAATTCTTGGTGGATGAATCAAAATTTCTATCATTTGCCTTGTGTCCAATGATCTACCCTCTGGTAAACTAACGTAATTATGGAAAATCACCATTTTTAATGGGAAAATCCACTATAAATCACCATTTTCAATAGCTATGTTAGTTTACCAGAGGGTAAAATAGGGGTACCATGGGGTACCCCTAAATCCTTCAATAGGATTTTCCTATAAAAAACCATCAATGTTGGGGTATCCATGGGTACCATCACTGCTCCAATTGCCATCAATCATTGTTAACAAAAGATAATCAATGGTATAATATGGTATGATAAACTATATGATTTCTGAGTTACCATCTGGTAATGACTAACAGTTTGCTATTGAAGCCATGTCCCAGTCGAAATCGTTGATTTACCAATTGATATCCAACATTATCCCATAGCAATGTTGATAGTTCTTCATCGAAAATACTACATGATCCAATGGCTCCAAGCCGCTAAGCCAGGATCAATCCTTCATTGGTCATTGGATGAACTTCGGTGTAAAGAGCCAATCATATCATTGATGATACCCGGCCTGGTAAACGTTTACATAGCTATGGAAAATTGGTTTAAAAATTGGTTTATAAATTGGTTTATAAATTGGTTTATCATGGTTATAAACCATCATAATCGTTGTTCATAATTATTGACAACTATAAGTATTAACTAATTATTCATGATGTTTGATCATGGTTACCCTCTGGTAAACGTTTACATAGCTATGGAAAATCACCATGTTTAATGGGTAAATCAACTATTTCGACTGGGCCATTTTCAATAGCTATGTTAGTCATTACCAGAGGGTAACTCAGAAATCATGTCCAATGTTTGTTTTTTTCCATAGGTATCCTTGCTCATGGCTTGTCATCCCACAAAAGCTGCACAGTGTAATCCCATCACAACGGTCACGGTCTGCTATTCCCCACCAGGTGAGGGTCCAGATCTGATCTGCCGGGTAAGCCCATCGTCAGATACGAGTAGAATGTCATTAGAGTGTCAGAATATGTGTTAGATACTGACTGTCAGATAGAATGTCATATGTCAGATGTTGGATAGAGTGTCAGAATATATGGGAGATAAAATCTCAGAACAGATGCCATGGGGAGCACTTGAAGAAAGTAATTTTGTCCAATTTGTCCATGGCACTGCAAGGCAATCCCAAAATGGTGATTTTTTTTATGTTTGGGATAATCCGATGTTAGTGTCACCGGTGAGCTTTGAAAAAAATGACGTTCCAAGTGTCCGTCGATGTAAAAACTCGTCAAATATATAGAGTATGAAACTTAGGTGACACATCATAGTTTCTGACTTGGGTCTGTGTAGTTCGGTAACAAGCTGAGTCGGACATTGAACAGGACCGAGTCGGAAACTGGCAGATGGGGAAGGGGTAACAAGCTGCAAAAATTCTCCATTCTTGATATTCTTGCGATTCCTCTTGTTGCTCAAAATCCTCCATCTCTGTTGCTTTCCATCCCATCTTCATTTTGTTTCTAAGAACAAAAACTCTTCGATCCCAAGGTCCCACAGTGTTCAAAACCATTGATCTTCAGCACAGCGACCAGTTCCTCTCGCACGAATCCACTGTAGTCCGCTTGCCCCGCTCGCCACACCAGCACCGGGCTGCCATCCGGGGCTGCTTGGGACAGCCGCCCAAAGAAGATGTAGGGCGCTACGTGCCGCGCCGCATCGGACGAAGGCTGCCATCTCCAGCGCCAGGGACCCAGGGATAAGCGCGTGCCGTTCACGGAGTAGTCCTGGACGTTCTGGAGATACAGTGGATGGGTGGTTTATCCCATTACAATATTTAGATGATTTCATAGGGTTTCAACCATCCAAGGTGGTGCAGGAGTTCTTCCATCCACAATATGTTCTTCCCGTGAACAGTGCCAAAAATCTGTTATCGCGAATTTCGAGTTGAGGATATATTGAAAAAAAACGCCAAATATTATGGTTTATTTTTCAGGCAAACAAACCAACAAAGAAGTGGGTGATTGGGACTAAATGGCCCCAAAATCCCATGGTTTTTCAACATGGAAAAACTGCCATTTCCGCATTCATGGCAAAAACTTGAGGTATCTTGGAGTCTTAGAGGAACTCATACATTTTTTAGATCCTCATTCTTGATACAGGTTAGACTTAAGTCCCACGTTTAAAATGGTTGAATCCCCATTTTTGGCAGCAAATCTCCCTGTGTTTCGTGGTTGACCCCACCTCTCCGGTGCCGTAGTCCGACATCACCTGTTTCAGATTGAAGCTCCGGCGCCAGGAGATGGTCTCACGGTACATGTCCGCCGCAGCAGCCAACTGGGGTCGCAACTGTGGTACAAGTTACCCAGAACATGTTGGAAATGGATATATATATATATATATAAATACAAGTGATATATATATATAATATAATATAATATATATAATATAATATATATAATATAATATATATAATATAATATATATAATATAATATATATAATATAATATATATAATATAATATATATAATATAATATATATAATATAATATATATATATGGAAATGCTACCCACGAATTGGGGACTCACTAGGTTACGAATGGTTAAGTAGCTACGATCCTTGGGATCCTCCAGCAAAAAACCTGGGGAAACGAAGACGAAGTGAGCAACTTCACTGGTAAATGACTGCTACTTTGGGATACCAATGCAAACAGAAATGTGGGTATAGAATGGCATACAACTTTTTAGCCCCATCAAACATGCGCTAGCCAATGAAACATTGGGGTATGACTGTATGACCAACAAAAATGGCGAGAGAAGCGGCAAGGATGTCATGGACTGTTGGGGATGTCCATCAAAAGGTGTTACCCAAGAATAGTTGGCATTTACTTGGCATGTCTGCAAGACAAAAGAGACAAAAGTGAGATCCATGTGCGGATCAGTTAAGATTCACAACCGATTTCGGATTCTCCAAGCTTTCCACGTTCCAGCGTCATCAATGCACTGGGTTAGTCACGAATTTGTATACCCAAGCTTACAGCTATATAAGCTCCGTGATTCTGAAAGTAGATCACATGCAGGTGCAAAGAACAGGATGTTTGCTAGTGCGTCGGCACGTCGGCTTCCTGGGTTCCTCTATCTGGATGATCGCCTTGGGAACTTGTTTGCACCTTCATGGTCAGTGAGTCCAATCTATGGATCAATCGATTCTGTGATGAAATGCGCGACCGTCAGACCCACTTCCCCAGATTCATTTCCTGATTCGAGATTCTTCACCCACTTGCTTGCTGACCTTTCCAGATCTTCCCTGGATTTCATAGTTGGTTGGATTTGTTATTTCGGAAAATCTATAGAAAACCCCTGGACACACGAGGTTTTAAATACGGGGGATCCTGGCAATTCTTCAATTCTTCATCCAATTCTGTGAGGATTCCCAGCGATTTCCCATCAAGCAGGACACTGCACGGTCACGATGGAGGTAAAAGCGCAATAACGTCATGGAATCTGCTAAAGGTTCCACATCTGTCCCTGGTGAGAGATGGGGGTCACTTAAGTTCTGAAAATGTTCATCATCCCACTGGGCATATCATAGGGATTCTTCACAGGGATATGATCTGAATAATTAAAGGGAATATCATGGGGATATAGTTGAAATACCATTTGAAATTGTTCATCATGTTTTCATCATGTTCACCTTTTTTCATATAGCAATACCATATCATTTCCCCATGGAAACATGATTTTCCGGTGATCTTCCGGTCCCGCTGAGACCTGGCGGAGGTTTCACCATACAAAAAACGATGGGAAATCACATGAAATCATGGGGAAATCAACTATTTTCTATGGACTATGTTAAATTATCTCAGAGGATACAAAGCAACTTCATACTTCATACTTCAGGGGTGAATATGGGTCATATGAACCAAGAAGATGCGGAATATGGCTTTGTCTCAGAGGAATAGGAAAGTCGATGGTAGACCACGGGACTTTGGGGCTCCATTTCGAAACAACCCCATGTCCATAAATCCGTTGGGGTCGTTGGGGGGCCATACATCAATATTTAAAACATGCAGTCATCCCATTGATATTCTGAAACATGTTTGCCAAGAAGAGCAGTTACCTAGGCCTGAAATTCTGACATGTCAAAGAGTTGCAGCAAATGACATACTGTAGACCATAGCAGCTCTCATAGTAGTCGCTGGTGACTGAAACGCTGCGCAGAAAGATTTCAATGCCAAGCAACAATCGTCCTCCATTGATGCAAAAACAAAACTGAACTAACCACCATCACATGGGTTGCCCGGATGCGGAAAATTCCAGGGCAAATGCTCACAAGTCCATTTTGAGGGTCTGAACCATGGGTTATATCACACACAACATGCACTAACAAAAACAAACGGTATTATTGCATTTTCCGTGTGTGTGTGTGAGAAACCCTGAATCAAAGGGAAAAGCAGGGGGCCCGTGGACGCATAGATGGCACGGGCCAACGAAGACCCATCTATGTCGTCGTGAAAACGTACCTGCATCCGAAATGGCAAGGTGGCCAAGCCAAAAACCACCCATGCCGACATGCCATGACATGACATGACATGACATGACATGCTAATGTAACAACACGACATGACGGTTATCATTTCATCTCATTTCACCCTCTCCATTATGGAGTTTACCAAAGTGTGTCTTTCATGCACCCGGATCTCTGACAAAGTGCCGGGGAAGCTTGGTGGTGCGTCCGCCGGGGATACCAAGTTACAAGAATAAATCCAGACATAATGTTGCCAGAAGCCAGTTCCGCACAAGCATCCAGAGTCCGCACAAGCATCCAGAAGACTCCATCAGGGGATTGAATGCTTTTCAGAATAAATCCAGAGTCCATGCCAGAATAAATCCAGAGTCCACGTCAGAATAAATCCAGAGGGAAATTTTCATCCCTCAGAATAACCCCGTGTCATCCCATGTGGTTCTACTTGTTTAACTAACACGACCGTCATTTCACTCTTAACCTTGACCTCTACACATGAACTAGTAGTATGATTGCAACACGGATACCATGCATGACTGCTCGCGGCTTTTTACAGACATGACTCGTTAGTCTCGCTGAGACCAGTTTATGGTTTTCGCGTAGTTTACATGGTGCAACATGAAAACCCTGAACATGAATCATCACGTAGTTCACATGGCGCAACATGAAAGCCATGAATGTGAATCATCATGCCATGTTGACTAATAACATGAGTTAGATAATTTTCGGTTTGACATCATGGCCACATTGAAGATTGACATGTGCAGCGCTTGCAGCTTCGTGATTCCGACCATGCAGCCCGCGATGACGGCAGCTGATTTGTTTGCCCAGTGGATGAGTTCAGCATCACACAACACACAAGCATCAGCACCTTTTCTATCAACATTCTCTCAAACTCCACAACAACATTATCCAGCCGGACACACCTTACCACAATCAATGCAACCACAGTGTACCACAGCAGCTTTCACACAGCCTTTTGCTCCAACTCCACAACAACAACAACCACAACTTCTGGGACACACCGTCCCACAGCCAACACAAGCACCATTTGCCAACTCTGCGTTTACACAACCTCCATCTTGTCACACTTTCAACACACCACATCACAGCACAGCCATGCCAGGTTTTCAGCCACCACCACACTACAACGCAGCCATACCCAATCCTCAGCTCTCACCACCACAATATGGATCATTCCTCAATTACCAGCCTACACCACACTCAACAAGCACGACACTAGTACACCAGTTTCACAGCAATTTCCAACCACTTCAGCTTCAACTCCACCACTGAGTCACAACAAGCACAACCGTACACGATCTCGCACCACACGCAAGAAGCACAGATATCAACAAGTTTTCCAATTTTACAACCACAATCTTTCCAAGCACACCACAGCTTGGGTTCACCTCCACATTCTTGCTGAGCAAAGCCAACGCTCATTTGACATGCAACGCCATATTCGATCCAGTTCCACTCACTCCAATCACCTTTGAAAGCCATGAATGTGAATCATCATGCCATGTTGAGTAATGGCATGAGTTAGATAACTTTCGATTTGACATCATGGCCACATTGAAGATTGACATGTGCAGCGCTTGCAGCTTCGTGATTCCGACCATGCAGCCCGCGATGACGGCAGCTGATTTGTTTGCCCAGTGGATGAGTTCAGCATCACACAACACACAAGCATCAGCACCTTTTCTATCAACATTCTCTCAGACTCCACCACAACATTATCGAGCCGGACACACTTTACCACAATCAATGCAGCCACAGTGTACCACAGCAGCTTTCACACAGCCTTTTGCTCCAACTCCACAACAACAACAACAACACAACTTCTGGGACACACCGTCCCACAGCCAACACAAGCACCATTTGCCAACTCTGCGTTTACACAACCTCCATCTTGTCACACTTTCAACACACCACATCACAGCACAGCCATGCCAGGTCTTCAGCCACCACCACATTACAACGCAGCCATACCCAATCCTCAGCTCTCACCATCACAATATGGATCATTCCTCACTTACCAGCCTACACCACACTCAACAAGCACGACACTAGTACAACCACTACCAGCCACACCAGTTTCACAGCAATCTCCAATCACTACAGCTTCAACTCCACCACGGAGTCACAACAAGCACAGCCGTACGCGATCTCTCACCACATGCAAGAAGCACAGATCCACTACCAGGCGACACAGCCGACGCAAATCTACGAAACGACATCACTCACGACACCACAAATCACAACACCAATCACAACGTCGACGCCAGCATCGTTCACATCGCAGGCAACATCCCTCAAACACTGACAGATCCAAATCCAACCATCGATCACACACCGGACACAAACCAGCAGCATCTTCTCAGCGACACACGTCACCACATCACCACACTTCACCACTACCACCACCACCAACAACACAACTACCATCTCTTCCACCACCACCGTTACCCATCAGAACACACAGGTAAACACCTGTTCTCCACTTCTCCCACTCCTCATCAACAACCACCTCCGCCGCCTCCTTTGCTTCCTCCCAAAGTACCACCACCGACTAGCCTGGCTGACCAAATCAGGTCCATCGCCAAGTCCAAGAACATTTACAACACCACAACATCAAAGACTGTCACAGCGGGACAAGTCCACCTCACACCTCGCCAGCAATACACACCACCAACACCACTTGACACCACCAACACTACAAACGAACCACAGCCAACACAAGCAATTGATCACCTTCAAGAAGCCATCGAACGACAAATACAACAGGA